CTCCCCGCCCCCCCCCCCCCTCCGCGAACCACGTCGTTATCGTCCCTCGCTTGCATCTCATGACACAGGCACATGACTGACGTCGATTCCAGCTGAATCCTGGACATGATCGGCCCCTGGAAACCGAGGAGGCTGCCCGCCCCGTCCGCCGCGTCCGCCCCGACAATCCCCGCTCCCTCTTCGGCTGCGCTGACGAGCCGTAGCCGCTTCGGAGATGAACCACAGCCGGAGCCTCTTTGAGCCGACCAGCAACTGGAGGCCTGGGCGAATCCTTGATTGATTTCATGTCATGAATGCGTTACAAATCCCGAGTATTGTACAACTGCTAATGATGGATGGAATGGGATGGAATTGGGTGTTCCGTGTGTGTGTGTGATGTATTGTGGTTGGTACGTTGATGGTGGGTAGACGCTCGTTCGTCGGACGTGTCTATTTTGGAGTTGGTCTTCCTCTGCTTCATGTCTTCCTCATGTCTTCTTTCGTGTCTTCTTCTGAATGACTTCTTCTTTATGCAGTTACAGCGCCGGGGACACGGACAATGTACGCTGCGCGAGGACGCACAGCGCTACTGTCCGCGCCGCCCGCTTCTTCCTCCTTGCTTCTTGACGCCTTCATGCCCAGAATCCTATCGTCAACCTGCCTCCTCCTCGCCTCCGCCGGCTCGCTCGCCGTCCACTAGCTGGCGCTAGTCTCGTCCACTCACAGCATCCGGAGTCTCCGGAGCGTCACGCGGATGCCACCGCCAAGGCCCTTCTCGCCCTTGCCTGCCATGCCGAGGTGCGGTGTTGACGCGGCAGCGGTGGCACAGTAGTTGTCGGCAAGATTGCGGGCCTCACGGATCTCGGTCGGGGGCTCGGCGTTCGTCATGCCCATCAGGAGCTGCTCGGCAGCAACGCACTCGAGGTGGATCAGAGCCTGTCCACCGCGTCCGTCGTACTCAAGGGTAGGGACGATGTCGGCGTTGTTGCGGTCGAACTTGCCGATCTTGTAAAACTTGGAGATCTTCAAGATCATCTTCTTGAACTCCGGGTACTCGTGCTCGAGCTGGATCAGGTCGAAGCCGACGCTGTGCCGCCGGTTCGCCTCCTCAATGTTGTACTTGACGAACGCGAGGAGCGTCTGGTGCAGCGTCCTGATGGTCAGCGATTGCTCGGTGTGCGGGGTAATGATTTCGATCGCTGCCAGGAACACCACCGTTGCCCCGCTCTAAGCCGCAGAGGTACGGCGAGCTCTATCGCCCCGATCCGAGGTTGAAACCCGATGAACGCTCGCCCGAAGACGTGCGCCGATGCACGAGTGCTGCGGGCGTAACGACGTTCGGAGGCATTGCGGACGGGTGCGATGGGCAGTGCAGGACAAGTGCAGGACATAGAACGTCGGTGCAGAACACGGGCCACCGGTCCGAGTCTCCGTGCCCTAGCCCAGTGCGCAGTCCCCAACCACTAGACAACCCGTAAGCATATTCACAAGACCGGCAACTGTCGACGCAGCCGCGGGCATCATGAAACCGCACCGGATGCGAATGTGACTCCGGTGAATTAGGTGACTGGGTGCATTGTTGGGACCGCGCAGGCGTAGAAGCATGGGAGACGGAGGTCCGGCTCGGTCACCTAATTTTGGCGAGGAGCCCGTCCCTTGGTGGTGGACCCCGTTTCGTGTTGAACCGTCCTAGGTCCTGGGGTGGACCTGATTTCGCTCATGTCCGTCCTCCCTCAAAACGACACGGGGAATGAAGCAATCGGTCACGATCGAGCGATGCACGCAACCAACACTCACTTGGTCTTCTTCGTACCACGCAGCAGAGCGAGATGCAGCCGAATGTCCTCGAGGTTCTTCGGCGAGCCGGGGGGAATCACAATGTCGGTCTAGGCGTCAGCGGCTGCGGTCGGGACCCATGCGGGCGCCAGGGAGCGTAGCACGAGGCGTCGGGGGGCAATGACGCCCTTCCTCCCACGAAATGCAATGGGGCGCAACACTCACAGTGATGATCGGCGGTGGTGAGAACAACGGTTTCAGCGACATGGTTGCTTGCGTATCACCGGGGGGGGGTATGGTTGTGGGATGAATGGGTTGACAGTGTCGACGTTGACGTTTGACGAGGAAGGTTATATGACAATGCGAAGCAGGAAGCGTCGTCGAGGACCGAGGCCGAGGGCGAATCGCAAAGGCTGTGTGGGGAATGTCCGTGGTAGATGCACCGTTGTGCCGGCTGGAATGCGTCGAGGTGAGGAAGGGTGTGTGAGCTGCCTGGCTGCCAAGCGGTCGTAAACAGTGCGCAGGCTTGGATCGGATCTGGTCTCGGACAATTCGTTGTCTCTCTTGTGGTTGTCCGCCTCGTCTTTTGTATGGCGTTGTTCGAGACTTGAGTATGCTGTGTTGCCTTTTGTGCTATGCAAGAGCTGGTAGCTGGGTACGATGCAGTGGCGGGTTGAGAAGCAAAGGAAAAGTCGGTGCACGAGTCGCACGCTTGAGGTTTTATCTGACCTCGCATCGTCGGACTAAGACTAGCGTCGAAGGAACACCAGGGTCCCCTGTCGCAGTCGTCGCCCCGTCGCCCATGGCCCGTAGCCCCGCCGTCCATCCGAAGCAATCGATCTATGCATCTGGGAGACCGCGCAGCCCCGGCGGGCTGAGCAGGGGCAGATCGGGGCACACGGGGCGCTGTCCCCAGGGCAGGCACGCTGCTGGGTCTCTGATATCACTGGGGTCACTGGTTTGCGGCAACCACTGCGATCCTGCAACGATTGCAGCATGTGCTCACTCGCTAGATCGCATGTGCTGCGGCTTCTTTCCGCGGTGCAAGTGTGAAGGGTGGTGCGGCCGAAGGGCGAGGACCCTGTGCGCCAAAACGCTGAGCTTGGCAAACAACAGACAAGGTGCTTGGGCAGTGTGCCTTGGAAACTCGGTGCACAGGCTGCGCGATGCGTGATGCATGCATGAATGGCGCTTCTTTTTTTGGTATCGCACTCCCTTCTCCCGTAGTGGATCCCCCAGACTCATCGACTCAGGCAGAACTTCGGCTATGTACAGGGATTAATCGGCATCGGACCGCTGGCCGAACGCAAACCCGGGTGGTGCGGTGGAACGGGTGGTGCATGGCACAGCGTGGGTACGGTGTCAACGGCCCAGCACGTCGGCGGACTGACGACCTAACGGCGGGCAGGCAGACAGAGGTTGATGACGTGAGACAGTCACCATGCAATCAACCCACACGCCACCCATTAGTTCTGTTAAAGCGGCCCAGCGGCGGCCTACCTAAGCAAGGTTACGCACCCAGCTTGACATTTAAAGCCGACCCTGCCCTTGCGATCGGTCCGAGGTGGACGTCACATGGTTCGCTTGCCTGCGTTGCCTCCCAGTGAGCCTCACCGTTTCATCACCCCGTAGGCCATAGACGGCGGCCGGACACCGCGCGGTGATTGGTGACTCGGTCACAAACCATCAGTTTCCCCGTCAGCTTCACTGTTGACCTGCTAATCTCCTCCTCTGATCCTCTAGGCTTCCCCCTCTCGTCCGGTCAATTCCCCGAACCTCCCTTACTCCCCCCCTGCAGCTTCAGCTCCCAAGCTCCCACCACAGAGAGCGCGGAACACGAGGCACCCTGGATCCTTAACTTCATGTCATTCTTACCGATCTCTTTGAAACCCTGGATGGTCATGTTTTCTCAGTGTTTCGTTCGAGCTTCTCAAGCGGAAGCGGCGTCGGAGGCAACGATCTCGAGCTCGCGAGCTCGCGACCGCGAGACCTCGTCGCTCTCTGTCCCTTCGCTTCGTTGCGACGTGTGATCGCGAGCGCGGCATCCAACGAGAAGACGCAATCGGAACAACGTTGATAAATCTCCTGTTTCTTGAACAATTCACAAAGCTATGCGAGCCTTGTTCGTAATTTCCGCAGCAGCCGTTCTCCAACCCTGTTCCTTAGCTGGCATTTGGACGGTGAATGAGCTTCTGTGGCTCCACTACTCCAACTAGATACTCTGCCACTGCGCTCGTCTCGGCCGAGTCGCCATCTCATCCCACTTCCCGCCCGCCCGCTCATCACCGATGAACATAACTCAACCGTGCCCGACCTGAATACACCATATCGCAGTGTTATTCTGAGGTTCCGTTACTATGGAGTCATCTTCTATTCACGAGTCACAAGTCTAAAGCTTCATACCTTCTGCGCATTCTGCGATGCTCAGATGACTCCTTTGGTGATTAATGAGCCTGGTGTCGGGTTGTCAGGCGACTGAGCGTGTGACATCTCTCAGTTGACCAGTGGGACTGACACACTACGCCTCGTGTTCTAGCGCTCCCAGCAGCAGTTGCGGAACGAATACAATGTACATATGTGACTGCTACGGAAACTAATGGCACCTTATGCTGCGCTTATGCTACGCTATCACTCTAACCCACCATGATACGCTTCGGCCTGTTGTCCATGAAGCCGAAAAGGCTGCGCATGTCGACAAACCTGCGCCCGTTCTTGTTCAGGAACCTGTCGACCTCGTCCGTCAGAGACGAGATCATCTGCTGATTCGAGTTGACAAGCAGGCGCACCTCGTCGTACCTGCCCGTGCCCTTTGCCTTGTCCAGAAGCTTGTCGCCGTCAAACAGGTGACGGAAGTACAGCAATTGGTTGTACAGCTCGGTGTCGGAGTACTCTAGCCGCACACTGCCCTTGCACCTGCCGCCTTCCCGCGAGAAACCGAGGCACCGCTTCGCGTACACCGAGACGTTTCGGGTCCGCTGGCCGCACCCGTCAGGTCCATCGCACACCGTCCACCCGAGGTAGTACCTGGCAATGTACTTGCGGATGAGGAGCTCGACCTGAAGCGCGACAGAGGCTTGCGGGATCATGTTGGCGCAAGAAGGACAGGCGACTCCAGCCTGCCCGCTCTGGTTGATCTTCAGGTTCTGTTCGATGCCCTCGAACTCGAAAGTGACCGCACAGGATGGGCACTTGAGCGACAGCTTCTCCGCGTCTCGGAAGCGCTCCTCGTCGCTGATCTGGCTCTCCAGGGTGAAGAACTGCCGCTCGTGAACATTCTGCGTCTGGCTCACGTAGCGCGTCGGGTCGAGTCCCAGACACTCCGCAAGACGCGAGCGCTCGGTGCCCTCGATCGACTCGCACAATCGCAAGATAGGCTGCAGCACCTGAGAGTCCAGGTACAGATCGTAGTCGATCTTGAGCTCCGACCCCTGCCTGCGCAGGTCGTCGGGGTGGAATGCCTTATCGGCTTGAGCGGACTTGGCACTCTTGCCATCGGGACCTAGGCACAGAATGTAGGGGATCACGTCATGCGCGCGAACCGCGATGCCCTTCGCCTTCATTCGCAGGGCAACCTGGACGTGGGGTTGAGACTTCTTATCGGGGTAGTCTTCGGGGTTCTTTCCAAGACGCTTCCGTCAGCTCTGATCTCGCTTGTTTCAACTCACCTTGTAGATGATGAAGTCGTCCAGGGGCACCGCTCCGGAGCGAACAATCTCGCCTAGCTGAATGAGATACTCGTGAATTTTCTCGACAACCTTCTCGGTGTCATCACCCGACAGGATCTCCTTCAGGACACTAGACGACGCATCCTTGGACAGCTTGGAGAACTCTCGTCGCTTCATGTCCAGTCCCTTGATCTCCGTCGACTTCTTGCCCGCTTCATCGATCTTGACGGCGGCATACTTCTTCTTGTTCAGAAGCAGGACACGCTCAAACGTGGCGTCGAGGTCGATCTCGAGAAGCTTGTAACGCTCGTTGACAAGCTTCTTGAACTCGTTCGCAATCTTGACAGCTTCCGGGTAGCTCACGACGTTCGAATTGACGAACACCGAGTCGGTGTCTCCGTAAACGACGTCCAGGGACAGGCTCTCCGCCAGCTCCCTGGTGTGAGTGAGAATCTCACGGCCCTTGAACGTTGTCAGAGCGGCCAGGGGTCGCGAAGAGAATCGCGATCCGGCGAAACCCAGGCATCCGTACATGGAGTTGGCAGTGAGCTTGAGCGCCTGCTGTTTGATGTCCCACTGCTGGAGCTTGGCCGCACCTGCAGACTTGTCCTTCATCAGCCCCTTGACCTGTCGACGACGCTGGACGAGGGTGGCAATGATACGCGGAAGGACTCCCTGAGCAACGTCGCGAGACGGCACATCGGGAATCTTCTCCTCGTCCTCGCCTTCGCAATCCTCACGCTCGACAGTCGTGAAGTCGATGTTGTACTCTTGAATGATAGACGGGTAAAGCGAGTTGAAGTCCATGACGAGGATGTAAGTGTCCCAGAGACCGCGCTTCGGCTCAAACACGAGACCACCAGCATATTTGGCCTTGCCACGCTTGTGTCCGGCCGAAACCTCTTGCTCCTCGCCATCCTCGTTAATGAACTTGATCTTTGTGTTCTTGAACGTCTTGTCGGGGCAGACGTACTTCAGCTTGTGGAACTCGTGCAGCAGAATGAACTCGTTGCGGACGGCACGACCACCGTTCAGGGTGAGGTTCCACGAGTTACCGGCCAGGTTGGTCAACTGCTTGGTGAGCGGCAAGAGCTGCACGCGGGCAGCAATGGCCAACTGGAAGTACGTGTCGATCTCTGCCAGACGAATGAACTGGATCAGCTTGTCGGGTGAGTCGAGGGTGTAGTCGAAGTACGTGTGAGTGTCCTCCGGATCTATGTCCTCGCGTGTGGTCTCGAGATGCGTGGCAACCATCTCCGTCAGCGACCAGGTCGTGGACGTGATCATGCCCTTGGCGGCGTCACTGGAGAGATCGGCGACGAGACGACCCGCAAGCAGGCGGTGGTTGGATCCAGCCTTGCTGATCTGGAAGCCCTTCCGGCGGAATCGGCCAATACGACTCCAGTGATCCGCCTTGAGCTCCTTCAATCGGTACAGCAGGGCCTCAAAGGTGTTGCCGAGGAAATTGTGACCGACGATGACGTCCGGATCGTGACGCTGGATGGTAGCGAGAAGAGCGTTCAGGAGCGCACGCTCAGCCTTGACACTTTGGAACGGTGATCGCTCAGACTTTGCGCGCTGCTCGAGGCCAGGTGGGAACTTCTCGATAGGTCGCACAATCGTGCTGAGCGTCGATGGGAGACGGTTGGGTGGCGTCGTGTCCTCCAAGTTCACGTTGTCCCACGTGCGCGTCGTGGCCACAAGAATCTCGGTCTTGTTCTCGCGGTGGTTCACAATCGTGCGGAGCGCAATGCTCATCATGGTGAGTGGGGGAGTGTCTTTGGGAGCGGTCTCATCGTCATCGGAGAACGGGTTCACGTTCTTCGGGTCGTCGACAGTGAACTCGATCTTGCACCAAGACGTCGCCTTGGTCGAAGGCACCGCGCCAGTGATGTTCAGCCAGCAGGGGCCCATGATCCGGCGCTTGAGAACGAGAAGTTCGAAAGCAGTGGTGTTCGTACCGAAGATATGGCTGAACGTCGCTCCCGTCGTGCCCATCGGAATCTCGGGCTGAGTGAAGGGGTAGGTGACCTTCATCCATTCGCTCTCGCCGCGTTCGATGTCGTGGTCCTCGAATGCATACTTGCGCTGCACGAACTTGCACTTCCACTCGTCGATGCCGTGCTTAGAGCGGACGCTGTCGAACTCGGTGTATACGTCCGTCTTGTCGACGTCCATGTCCGACTCGGTCTGTCCCACCATGCGCTTTGCTCGCGGTTTGATGAAAAGGTTCCTCTGGATGCCGTTGATGGACAAGCAGGCACTGACATACTTGTTACTCTGGCGGTCAAGGACCTTGCCGATGAGGTGGACGACTCCGTCCTGCTCCTGGAAGTCGAGCCAGAACATGCGAAGTGATCCGTCCTGCTCCAAAACGTTCTCAGGCTTTGTCGAGCCCTGCGGGACGCGCACCGTCTCCAGGTCATCTTTCGGAGGCAGAAGCGACTCCTGCACAGCCTGCCAATGCTGCCGGTCGGCCGGAGGCTTGCGGCTCACAACTGCTGCCGCCGGCTTCTTGACCTCGACCTCAATGTCCTCCAGTTCCTCCGCGGGCTCAGGCTTGACGATGTGCTTCGTAGCAGTCTGAACACCACGTCGCGCCGCGGAACCAGCGGTGGGTCGAGCCGCCCGAGGCTTAATGAACATTTCCTCATCCGAGTCGGGTGGCTCCTCCTTAACGATGGTTGCGTCGGGGTCGACGTCCATACTGAAGTCGACTCCGATATCGTCATCATCAGCATCAGCATCGATCTCGAGCTTCGTCGACATATCCTTAGTACGAGGCTTCTTGCTGCTCCTGAACGGGTCAAAGATGTCGTCATCGCTGTCGTCCCCGTAGCGCTTCTGGGAGCTCGAGAAGAAAGAGTCAGAACTCGGCACTGGTGGGTCCGAGCTAGGGAATGAGCTGGAGGGCGGGCTCGACTTTCTCTTGCGGCTTGGCTCAGCCGTGACAGTGTTCAGCAGAGACGCCATGAAGTCATCTTCGTTGGCAGGAGCTGGCCGGTAGTTGCCCGTGTTCGCTGGGCGGGCGTAGTCGTTCAGGCTCGCTCGAGGCTTCGCCTTGGTCGGGAGACTAGTCCCAGCCTTGGCCGCCTTCGCACGGGCACGCGCTCGCTTGGCCTTGCGGGCTGGTTATCAGCTGAGAAGAGCGTGCGTATCTCACCTTTCCGGAGCTCCTCATCCTCTCCCTCGAAATCATCCTCATCCTCACTGCTCTCGTGACCGCCCCACTCATCTTCGCCGTGGTCGACGTATCCACTTCCGTCATCGTCCTCAATGAAGTCGTCGTTCTCCAGCCGGTCTCCAACAATACTTCTGTACTGTTCGTCCGTGACTTCGTCATAGATCTCGGCGTCCGAAGACTGTGTGTCAGCCACCGCAGTAGTTACTTGGGCAGCGGGCGCGACCGCCCTTTGCATTCTTGACGCTACGCAGTTATTAGGAACTCACCTTCCATTGACTGAGGCGTCCTCCTTTCGATCTGGCCTCTCGCAGAGCCGCTAGTCTGTCGTTCTTGGGAGGCATGGTTGGTTGGGTGGGGCGAAAGACAACGCGCTCTGGTCAGGATATCAGGAATCAATGTCGAGGACAAACGCGTCGCGTCCAGTCATTTGATTCCGTCATAAACATTGATTTCGTCGCGTGGCCCAGGCACGGACGCGCGCCAGCCATTCTCTCTGACCAGCCGAGGGCAATGTTATCGCATGCATCAATGCTTAAGGGCATACTGCTACATGACTTGGGTGTGACACTATCTCTTCCCCAGAAGACCTTCCGGGCCGTGCTCTCGAGCGTAACAGTTCTTGCACCACGGCTGACCATTGTGCTCGCTGACTCTTGACGGGTTCACAGTCGTTCCGCAGCTCGTGCACCGCAAACAACCCCTGTGCCACTTGCTTCCGAGAGCAACGACTTGCTCTGCAGCGTAGACCCTCTTCTGGCAGCCCTGGCACCTGTCCTCGAAGTCAGGTCGACCTCCAATCTTGCTTGCAGGAGAATCGGCTCTCCTCATGACACCATCAGTTGTGAACTTCGTGCTGGCAGAAACCCCGGCTGGAATGGGCTTGGAGCTTCTGAAGTCCGCTCTCACACTGGAAGGAGAGTCGGGCGCGGGACTGCCAAAGCGCCCCGTAGTCGGTGTACCGGGGCTGGTTCCAAACGTAGCTGCCCGGGGTGTGCCGGGGCTCCGCGCGAGAGGGCTGCCTGTTCGGCCAGGGCTGGCGGCGAGAGTGGAAGCACTCGCGGCAGTCAGAGGGATGGAGATGGTGCTGCGAGCTGAGCTCGTAGAGGCGTTCAGGACTGAAGAAGGCGGAGGTGACTCGATGTCAAGTTCAGGCGGGGGAACGTAATAGTCCTTGACTGGCGGAAGGTTGCGGCGAGGTGATGAGACGACTGGCTCAGGCTCCTGGACGGGTCTAGGTGCACGGGGCGGGGTGGACGGAAGGTGGTTGGCGTTGCGGAGATCCCTCGTGCCGAACAGCTGGGTGTGACACCGGGTGCAGTAAGGCTGTCGTAAGTACAAGAGACGAGGATACCACTCACCTTCTCGTCGTGGCTAACGAGGTTGCCTGGGTCGAGACGCTTGCCGCATTGCTCGCACTTCAGGCAAAGCTTGTGGTAGATCTACGGTGATTGACGGAATGTCCAAGCGCCGCAGGGTAGACGTCATCGACATCAGGAGGATACCGAAAGCGGAGAGCGCATGTAAAAGGATCGACCAGCAGAAGTGAAATGAAGGTACGATTGCGCAGGTAGAGTACGGAGAACAAGAAGTAGAGGAAAAGGTAAGCATTGCATCCCTCGCAAAGGACAGGGGGAGACTCACCTTCCTGGCAGGACCCATAACCTGCTCTGCGTGATACACGGCGCCGTTGCACCTGGCACACTTGGGTGTCCCTCCTAGCATGATGGTTCGCGGTTGACAAGCACGAGATGGAGCAGTGGATTCAGTAGGCAATGGATATGTCGAATGGTAGTAGAGTGAGGAAGCAACAGCAGCTCGCACTCGTCGTAAGTGTGTTTTGTGGTTTTAAGGGTAGCCGACCAAAGTCAAAACACGCGTCATATCAGAACCCTCATTTCTGGCTCTGGACCCGCGTACCCGCAGGTTCCAGCCTCACATCTCACGTCTCATGCACCGCTCATGCTTGGCGTCACTCTCCCACACTCTTCTGGGTGCCTCCTGTACATTCCCTGCATCAGTGTCCAGCGCTGTGCCAGTGAAGCAGGGTCATGACAATGCCTCCAGATGGCGATTGGGCAGTCGCAAAGTGCTCACGTGAGCTCTGGCGAGCAGGGTTAGTTACTTCGGGTCACAAAAGGCAATTGGATTTCCTGGATCAGACAATCTGCATCCTGATAACACGCGAGATACAAAATAAAACGCGCTTAGTAAGCAGCGGCCTTGCGGGCGGCAATGGCGAGGTGGTTGGAGAACTCGTCGTAAGGAGTCTGGCCAACGGGGATGACGTTCCAGAGGTCGGGGGACTGGAACTGGTAGGTCTTGGAGAGGGCAGCAACGGTAGCCTTGAGGAAGTTGCCCTGGGTGGCGGTGTTACCCTTGGACTGGGTGTAGCAGTCCTGGATACCGGCGAGCTGGAGCATGCGCTTGGAAGCGGGGGCAGCGACAATGCCGGTACCGCGGGGAGCGGGGATGAGACGGCACATGACGGAGCCAGACTTGCCGGAGACCTTCATGGGGACGGTGTGGGGCTCAGCGATGTGCGAACCCCAGTAGCCGCGACGGACGGGGACGACCGAGAGCTTGGCGAGGATGATGGCACCGCGGATGGCACCGGCGACCTCCTTGGCGCACTTGACACCGAGACCGACGTGGCCGTCGAAGTCACCGACAGCGACGAAGGCCTTGAAGCGGGTGCGCTGACCGGCGGAGGTCTGCTTCTGAACGGGCATGATCTTCATAACCTCGTCCTTGAGGGTGGGGAGGAAGAGGTCGATGATCTGGTACTCCTTGATGGGGAGCGAGAAGAGGTAGATCTCCTCCATGGACTTGATCTTGCCGTCCTTCACAAGACGACCGAGCTTGGTAACGGGGACCCTACATGTCAGCAGGCATTCTAAGCGGCTCTCTCCGGCTGGCGCAACAACGTCGGACAAGGTGGGCGTTCTGTTGATCGATCCTGGGGATCAAACTGCGGTTGCAGGTTTGCAGAATTGGCGTCCAAAAATTCGATGTTCGTTTCCGGAAACCCATGTCTAGCAGACTCAGTCCTCCTGTCCATAGCAAGTCGTCGTGTTATCCCTCGCAGTAGTCCATCGCAGCATGCGCGTCGCCAGCTTCTGTCGCTTCTTGCTCTTCTCGCAGTTTCGTGGTCGACGTTGTAGCGCCGTTTGTCCTTCACGTTGCGCCAGCCGAACTTTTGCCAGACTCACCACTCCTTGTCCTCGTCACGCTTGGGGCCGCGGCGTCCACGACGACCACGGGGTCCACCACGACCACGACCGAAACCACCGCGAGACTCAGCCATTTTTGTTGGTTAGAATGAGTTTTTGGGTTGAAGGATGAAAGAGAAGCCCGATACACGAACAACCACCAACGATTTCCAGCCAGCGCCTGCCGCCTGCACCTCGCACCTCCAGACTCGCCAACGAGCCAGGGTCGCCTGCACCAGTCTGAGTGTGGCACCCGGCGTCCACGTGGTTTCGGTGATAACAACGAGCCGACAGTTTCGCACTTCCACGGAGAACTTTAAAGGGGAAGACGGCTTAAGTTTTCCAGGTGCCACGTGCTTTTTGGTCATGCATTTGAAGCTATGCTAATGCCAAAATCTAATCGCTCGATGCATCCCAAGTCGCCATCTGCCAGGAACAGTCACTCCCTAGCCTCTGGCGTGCTCGAAAGGCCGAGATCTATGCCCAATGAGAGGTCTCTCTCAGAATATCAACAACTGTCTGCAACCCGTTGAGGTCGACCTCGTCGAAAGTCGCGAGCACCGTCGAGTCGAGGTCAAGGACTCCAACAGTCTTGTCCCCCTCGGGCGTCTTCAGCCTCAAGGGCAGGACAACTTCGGCCTTTGTTTCTCCGTCGCATGCTAGTTTACTGTCAGCGGTCGACTCACATTGGCCTCCTTGCCAGCTGCCCCCTCAGACTAACCGATGTGTCCTGGGTACTCGTCCACGTTTGTGACAACAACTCCCTTGTCACCGACGAATGCGTCAGCACAGACGCCGCGGCCCGCCTTCGCCTTAATGACCGCGCAGGCTGGTCGACCCTGGTACGGTCCAACGATGAGGTCACCTTCTCCGTTCTGCTGAATGTAGAAGCCGACCCAGTTGACCACAGGCGAAGTACCGTTTAGTCCATACAGTGACGTGCCCGCGTACGAGTGGTACAGCAGAGCACTAGCTTGCGCGAGGTTGGACACCCAGAACGTCGAGTCGCTCAGCAGGGCGCGAAGCTGCTCGTGAACATGCTCGTAGAACTGCTGCTTCCTGTTCGTTTTAGCTAGAGTCCGAAGACGGACAACGACTGCTGGGACACATCGTTGTACCTACTCACGTCTTGATTTCCTCCGGGACGAGAGAAGAGTCAGCGTGGGGCATGGCTGCAGGCGATGAGATGGTGATTGCCTGATGCATATGGACAAGTCGTCCCTGTCGTCATATCGAACGCGACTGAGCCACACCAGATAGGGACCGTCAGGCACGGCGCTTAAGGTTAGCGGTGGGGGGAGGCGGAGATCACATGATGCCCATATTACCGTGTCGCCAGGCCCTAACGAGTTTTGGGCGCTCGAGCTCAACTACGGTCTCGTTCTCAGTAGTCGTTGCCTCTCGCCATTGTCATCTCCAACGACGCTTCGCCGCTACCTTCTTCACCCCAGATCATTACCGGCAGCGTTCTTCTCTGGAAATACTAGGAGGAGGAGTCCTGATCCTCTGCTCACTCGATCCCACTTCATTCCTCTCACCCAAAATCTGCTACCTTCCTCAACCGCACGCCTGGCTTTCTCCCTCATCGTCTTCCGCAACAGCTAGCATCGATGCCGACGCCCCGTCGAAGCTTGGGCCAAGTGTCGAAACCCTCTCCGAGTCGCCCTCGCGATAGCCCTTCCTCGTCACATCCGCATCACCACCAGACGGCGGATGAGCTTGCCCTGCAGGAGGCCGAGGAGATTCTCGAATCCGATGACGAGGATCCCAACAGCCCCCGGGCATTGAGGTACGCTGAGCTCACACGCAAACGTGAACACACTGCGGAGCCGGAAGCAGCAACACTGTCTGACGGCGTTGAGGGTGCTTCTCAGTCGGATGACGACGAGAGTTCCGAGGCAGGGTCGGATGTGGACGGCGGGGAGGACTCTGCGTCGGACGACAGTTCTGCCTCATCTTCGGATTCTGACAGCGACTCGGCTTCGGACTCTGAAGACTCCAGTGTTACATCGGACAGTCACGACGATGACGAGGACGAGCTTGAGCGTTGTCTCGCGGCCGCCCGCAAAGCTGCCGCCGCTAAGGAGGTCAAGGCCAGCAGCAAGGGTCCGAATCCGGTTGCTGAAGATGATGGCGAGCTCCGTTTCGAAGAGGAAGTCAAGGAAGCGTAAGTTTTCTTCGCCTTGCAATTATGCTGAGTGACAGCCCCATTCCCGATCTCGACATTCCCACCCTGCCCGCACCGGTTCTCACTCTCAACCAGGACGGCACAGCCTCGACTTCACGACCAACCAGCACTCGTAAGGGCAAGGCTCTCGAGCTTGATTCCCGAGAGTACGAGCGCCCTCTGAGCAAACGCGAGAAAGCGGCGGTGAGTTTAGCACAGCGTGGGCGCACGTTATCGTGCCCCCTAACGATGACTTATACTGACACCGACTGCAGCAGCCAAAGAAGGCTTCCGTTTCTGAACAGTGGGCTACCATTCCTGCACCCCGTGCGGATGACTTGCCTAAGATGAAGCGTGATTACCAGGCGCTGTCGCTTGCGAACTCGCTTGATCCGAAGAGATTCATGAAGGGTCAAGGCAAACTGGGTAGGGTGCCTGAAAGATTCAACGTGAGTATCCGCGACCCCGTGCCCGCGGGCGGCGTGGCACCAGGTAGCGAATTGTCTACCTCAGACGCTGACGAGCGCCTTGCAGATCGGAACCATGATCGAGGCTCCCCGTCACTTGCAAGACACGACTGTCCGCAAGGAGCGCACCTACAGGGCTGGTCAAATCGTTTCCAGCGTGGTCAACGACATGGAGGTCGAGACCTACGCCAAGCGCAAGTACGAGGAGCTCCAGAGCAAGCGCATGTACAACGGGCGCGGCAAGGGTTGGCAGAAGCGCGCCAAGTGGTAGGCGACGAACGCGGTACATCAATCAATCAGCATTCTACAATCATAGAGGACATACACACATCACCAGGCGGTAAGTTACACTGCAGAAGCCAAGCACGTGGGTCGCTGACACTGGACAGTTTCATTTTCTTTCATAGACATCATTGTGCGTGGGGGCCGAGCCACGCCCGGCGGCGGCCTATCAACCAGCAAGTGTAAGCGCGGTGCTGACGATTCGCAGGTGTTGCATTGCATGGGTTCTGTTGTTTTTGTTTACACAGGGCAAATAATTTTGCGATTGACTGGCCGGCTCGTCAGGGGTGGACGTTGTTGCCACCCGCCGCCACTCAATCGTCATAGCCACCCCGTAGTAGAGTTGTCATAGGGAGCACCGGCGGGCAAGTCTAGGCAGGGGTACAGTCAGTCAACCGCCCCTGCCTCGGCTCAGCCAAGTAGCCGCAGGCAGGCAGTCAGTACATGAGCAGCCTGACGCCCACTGAGGCACAAGGAGTCAGGTGACCTGGCCACAGCAGAATTGGCAACAGAGCGGAAATCGCCACACACTGAATCGCCGCAAATGCCGTGCCCACAGGCTGGTGTCACTGTGGAGGGATTTTCGAGTGGGAAGATTTGCAATAGCGGTTCAGGGGCCTACGTGTCGTGCACCGCCCCAAGTCGCAGCGGTCCCAACGAGACGAAGGAAGCACCCACCCTCAGCTCCTGGCTGACCAACACGCCATCGGAACGGGCCCACAACAATCGTCGAGCCCGCTCCAAACAACGACGACGAGACCGCTTGATTGCGGCCTCAACCACCTCCCCTCGTCGTGCAAGCATGGCCACTGGAAGGATGGTCACCTCGTCGCGTCGCGCGGGGCGGATCACCAACAAAAGTCGACTTCTTGTTTACCGGGGAAGCGACAAGGTTGACCTGAGCGCGGCAGAGACCATTGTGTGGAACAATGACTCGGCTTCGGAATCGGCCAACAAACACAACTCCCTCGGTGCAAAAGGCGTCGAGTCCGGCGAGCTCTTGGTAAGTCTGCGTCTCCTCTTCACTTTTCTCTATGCATGCGACAGTCGTTGTGACTGCCGTTCGCCATCAAAACGGCTTTGAAGAACGGCGACGGACCGTGGGAACCGAAACCTCGGTGGTGAAAAACTGCGCTGCGGTGGTGGGGCGACGCAACGCCCCCTTAGACCTCCACGTTCATGTCGACAACCTCCACTACGAGATCCATGCACACGACTCTCGGCCTCCATCACCGCTTGGCGTTCCGATCGTCGACTCTGCTTCGCCGCAATATGCATGCAAGGTCCCCGGTCGCCACCAACCGTTGTTTCTCAGTGCATCTCAATGCACCACCACCACCCAAACTGTCCCGCACCCAGCTGTCCCCCTCCCACCAGTCACATGCCGTTTCAGGAAATTTCTGATGTGTGGCGAATAGTCCATGTACTGACAATGTTTACAGGAACACCATCTCCAAGCAGCGCTGTCGTCGGCCTCACTGCTCCACTCGCGAGATGCGACAAAGCCATCCAGCCCCACCAGCCGCGGTGACACGGCCAAGCCTGACTCGGCCCCCACCAACGCTGCGGCCAACGCTGCACTCAACTACCACATTCCCACTCCCGACGCGACAGGTCTGGTCGACAAGACCGACTACGCCAAGCTGTACCATGTGCACAAGTTTGTCGAGCCTGTCAACTACATTCGTTTTAGCGACACTGTGGAGGAGGCCTCGGAGGGCCAAGGTGGCTTGGGCTACTGCATGGACGATGAGGACATGGAGTGGCTCAAGCAGTTCAACTCCAAGGCCGAGGGTGGCAGTGGCGAGAGTGGCTCTCCAGCCAGCCCCTTGAACGGTCGCACTGACCGACGAAAGGGCAAGGACAAGGAGAAGCCTGAGCCCACTGCTGTCCAGATCTCCGAGGACAACTTCGAGTACATCATGGGCGTACTGGAGAAGAATTGCGAGGACACTTGTCCGATGCTCTCCACCAACCTTGCCCTGATCCCGACATTCCCCCAAGTCGAATCTCTCTTTTCGTCCCCCCTCCCGTCTTCTTTTTACCCGTCCAATGAAGTCCCGAAAGGTCTTCCGGCTCCTCAGGCGCTCGCGCGCATGGCCCGCTCAGTGTACCCGCACTGGAAGGTCAGGCGAGAGAAGCGCCAGGGTAAGCCGATCATGCCCGTCCTCAACTTCGACGAGACGAACGACAACGACCCCTACGTCTGCTTCCGCCGTCGTGACGTTCGCGCCGCTCGCAAGACCCGACGAACGGACAACTACTCCGTCGAGCAGATGCAGAAGCTTCAGTACGAGCTTCGCCGTGCTCACGACCTCGCCAAGCTCGTTCTCAACCGAGAGAAGGAGAAGAAGTCTCTGTACACTACGGAGCGCGAGGTGTGGGAGGCGAAGTGGAAGCTGTTCGAGACGAAGCGACGATGGCCGTCACTGGGTGTCACGCGAGAAGAGGAAGAGATCATCACCGGTCGACAGAATGGTACGGCTGCAGCCGCTGCCGCCCGCCATGGGTATGGCTACCGTCTCGAACAACACCAACCGACACCGTAGCCGCGTCATCGAGAAGGAGAAGGAGGAGCGCGAGAGGCGTGATCGGGCAGCAGAGGCTACCCGCACGAGCGAGCGGGTATCCTCCGCTGGCAAGTCGATGGCACCGGAGGCGATCCGGGAACGATTGCAGGCTATCCACTCCAAACTCGACGAGGAGATGGCTCGCAAGAAGGTTGCGGACGCCCACTGGGACGACTACACCGACGCCTCCTACCAGCCGCTCCCCTCTTCGCACGCTTCGCACGCGTATCGTCAGATCGGCATCCTCGACCCTTGTTACAAGAACGAGGAATCGACGGACGACGAGGAGGACCAACACCGCCTTGTCCACCCCATGGCCTTCCGACTCCGACGAGGCCGTGCTGGCCGCGTTCTTCTCGACCGCCGTCTTCCTTCTCGTGCCGTTCGTCGCGGTCCCTTCCCCTCCTCTCCTGACCAACTCAAGGACTGGTGTTTCCCGGACCTTGTTGATGGACGGGTGTCCCGCCGACGACCTCGCGCCATTGATGAGTCGGACGACGACAGCTCTGACGAGCTCGGCGACATTAGGAGCGCTAAGCGCCAGCGCCTGAATGAGCTGTTCCGCTACGACGTCTCTCGTGGCGGAGCCGTCGGTCTAGGTATGGGTCTCTCCGGCGATGACAACACAGTTGTCGTCGACGACTATGAGGGCAAGTACATCCAGCACCGAATCGGCCTGCTGCATGACTCGGACATTGCCAAGCTCCGCCCGGACACCGCCCCCATCACGCAAGCCCTCATGGATCTCGAGGCTCCCGTGGACCTGCCGCCGCCGCCCAAGTTTATCAAGCCGGCCCCTACGAACCCTCAGCTTGCGGCGTACCAGCAGCAAATGCTGCAACAACAGCAGATGGAGCAACTGCAGCGCTTCCAGATGCTGGCTCAGCAGCAGCAGGCTATGGAGCAGGCGCGATTGCAGCAGCAACAACAACAGCAGCAGCAGGCGCAGCCCCAGCAGCAGCAACAGGCGCAGCAGGCGACGCAGCAGCAGACCCAGCAGACTACCCAGCAACAGCAGGCTTTCGCGCAGGTGCAAGCGCAAGCCCAAGCCCAGGCGCAGGCTCAAGCGCAGGCTCAGGCTCAGGCGCAGGCGCAAGCACAGGCTCAGGCCCAAGCGCAGGCTCAGGGTCAAACGCCCGCTCAGCCCCAGCAAGTGCAGACGCAGGTCCAGCAGCAGGGTACGCCCAACGGAGTCGCGACTCCGAACGGCACCCCTCAAATGCAAGCCAACGGTCTTCAAAACGGTCGTGCTGCTGCTGTCAAGCGCACTGTCACCGCAACCCCGTCCCCTTCCATGCAGACCGCCCAGTCCAACGGCACCCCTCAACCCGGTACCCCGGGCGGTCAGCAGTTACTCGGTGCTGCCGGTCAGCAAACCCCACAGGTTGTCAACGGCAACGTCATGCTGCCGAACGGCAAGCCCTTCGTTCCCGGACCTGGCGGGATCCCCGGCGTGCCTACTCCAGTTGGTGCCATCGATCCTCAAATCCAGGCCCAGCGGATGGCCGCTGCCCGAGCCCAAATATTGGCTCAGCAAGTGCAGGCAGGACAGCAGGGTGGTGAGATCAGCTTTGAGGCCCAGACGGCTGAGCAGCGCCGTGAGCTTGCGGCGCTTGCACACCAGAACGGCTACGGTAACAACGTTCAAGGCTTTATCGACGCCCGCAACCGCGCCCGACTGATCAGCATGGCCAAGCTGGCGGCTGCGCAGCAGGCTCAAGCTGCCGTTGCCGCCGGTCAGGTTCAGGTCCACCTCGCGCAGCCCGTTGCGAACGGCCAGCAGCCCTTCCAGACTGCTGGAATGCAGCTGAAGTTACCGCCTCACGCCGCCGCCCGACTGGCCGGCACCACCCCCACCCCTCCCGCACAGCAGCAGCAGCGTGCATAGACTTCTCTCTGTTTATTTACACGTATCTTGCCACAGCATTCACCAGTATCCAACTCCCAACTCAAAATCAACAAACCAATTCATCGCACTTTTCCACATGATTCCGGAGGTTCTCGCTCAGACTTCTCTCTCAACGCAACAAACACAACAACAAAGCCAGTTCATATTCCACGCATCATATACCTCGTTTTCATTAAACTCCAATTTTATAGTGTCTCCGAATGCTGGAGAACGCTTCCTCCGCCCTGCACCACAGGCTGATGGACTGTCGGCGAAACCGCCTGTGTATAGTAGACGAAAGGGTGAGGTAGCAGTATGTACAACAAAGATGCAAATGCCTAAAATGTTAAAACTACTTGAGACATCGTACGGTCGTCGGGATTGCAGGATATTCGCGGCGTGTTGGTTGGACTTGCGCTGCTTATCGTATCGGGGCCTTCGCCGTTCGAAGAAGCATGAGCCGTCCGGGGTCTTCCGGCCGATATCTCCTGCCAGCGTGACTGTGGTGACATGTGTGCGTGCTCGTCGTAGCAGAAGTACTGCATGAGACCGTGAGACCCCATACCGTGTGCAGTGAGACTACAGGCCGCGCTACGCGTGCCGCACACGTTCTCATTCAACACCCGCCAAGCTGTCCCCAATCGATCCTCGTGTCTCACGCTTCTGCTTCTCGTCACCATCACGCCGTCGGCTCAGCCGGTCATGATCCGGTCACCCTGTTATAAGAGCGGTTGCGAACCTCCTTCGAGCTAAATACCGCGATACTTCCTGCTTCTGTCTCCTTCCTCCCCAAGACACCCCCTCCAAAGAAGACCTTGCACCAGCACTGCCTTGCCACCAGCCCGCTTCTCTCTTTCTATCCAGGTACTCATCGAAGCAATCAGGCGTCATGTGTTCCGGCAACCGCTACGGGATCAACTACGGCAGTGAGTCGTTCCCAGACGTTGCTGACGTCTAGAGAGCTGCAGCGGGATCTGGAGCGAAGACCTCGGATACTACTACTGTCGCTACTGCCTCCTCCGGGTCTCGCAAGGGACGGTCGAGTAACCGGTGGCGTTGTCCGATCGTCCGATAGGACAACTCCTGTCCTAACCGACCCAACCCTGTTGACATGACTGCACCGACACTTTGCGCTCACATTTGACAGTGGTCAATGGCTCGCTGCGTGCCTGACCAACTTCTTGCCCTGCGACCTTCATATCTGCCACGAAATGAGATGAACATGACAAATTCAGTAGTGTGTAGCTCCCCCAGTCCATTTGCTGCTGTCAGGGTCTGCATCCAGCCTCCGGAGCCAGATGTTCCCGAGACGATGCTTCCTGGCTGGTCGATCTCGAGGCGCATGGGTGTTTTGTATCGCAAGATGCTGCGAGCACGCCATTTGGACACGCAGATTCTCGCCGTCTGCGTAGACTGAAGGTTGCGAGTGATGTCTGTGACGAGTGCATATGGAGGAATGGAGGGTCAGTGGTGGGCACTGTCAGGACAAGTTGGAAAGACATCCATCCCAGAGAGAAGTCCGATACCGTGGCCTCATGGAACTGACGGACTAAGAGGCGTGCGCGTACCCCAGAAACGGGCGAGGAAGCGACAGTGTATCTTCCGACTCCCCTCCGAAGGACGCCGGCGAGTCGGGGAAGTGCGGGGGATATCTGTGTGGGCTGCATATGGGGTGGCATTAAGGATGCAAGGCGTGCTCAGACCGCTACACTTCCCGTCGAGATCTGATAAGATAGAGTGCAATCAACTGCACACCTCGCCGGAACGTCGGACCGAGAAACCGCGCATGTCAGGCTTTTCTTGGAAGGGTTGTGTGTCGGAGACCTCCGACTGAGGAAGGCAAGGATCGAAGGAAGCCGATAAACTGCGCAGATTGTTCAACATTGCTGAAGTGCGGCAAGGCTCCGTCTGGTTGTGGCTCTGGTTGTGGCTCTGGCTGTGGCAGGCCTGGCCCCTCTCCCAGTGCTCAGAGTGGTTCGCTCTAACCTCGCAAGGGGATGGAGCGGACAGGTGAACTATGTCGCGATCACCTCGGAACCTTCTCGATCACTGCACAGCGTGCACGGATGGGCACCCAGTGTATCTCGACTCGAGCAGATCCTGGGAGTTACGATTGCGTGTGGCTCGGAGAGTACGACCTCGATCACCGCCGGACTGGTTGGGGTGCTCTGTCGGGACTCCGAATCTCACTGACACGCCTAGCGGGCCCCGGTATGCTGGTGTCAGACGCGCCGAAAAGCGTTGGGGCACTGCCAAGCTCCGTGCCACATAGAGACAGATTGAAGCTCGCGTAATCTCACGTGTGGCCTCGTCGTGGTGGTAGAGTGTGCGTGCGTGAGACCCAATACACGGCCTCGTCATGCGACTCCAGGCCATTGCACTGTGGTACTGATTGGATCTGTCGCCTTCGTCTAACTTGAGGGGGAGGCGCAGGCATGCGCTGCACGGACCGGCCCGCACAGACTGCCACGGAGGAGAGCATGATCGCAGCACCTTACGCCTTGCACGCTGCACACGCCGGCTCGATCCGGATGTGGAGAACAGGCGCACCGTGCCCATTTCCCCCCTTTGCACCGCTGCAGGTGGAGATGAGAGACAGGATGCGGCATGTGTCTTGGGGCACTGGGGCAAATGTGAGCGACGCTCCCAGTCTGTGTGCCTCTGTGGTCATGTTACACACGTACGTCTGAGATGCACGGTCGTGTGCGATATTTTGCTCGACTCACGAAGCACGTCGTCCTAGATTTCAGTCGCGCACCTCCGTACCGTACTTTCGTTCTTGGGCCGAAGCATCATTTCTTCGTTCGAGACAGTCCGACCATGGCAACATATAAAACGAAACCACAGCATGGGTGGTCTCCCTCTCACTCAAACCTCCGTGTCGAAAGGAAACGCAACTCCCATGCCCCCCGCGTTCACGATCGGCGATCTTGTCACAAGCCCACCCAAGCGTTCCAGCATCAAACCGGCGTCAAGGCCAAAGCCCAGGTCCAAGCTCCAGCCGAGGAGCTCCTCACTCAAACCACCTGCTCAGAGCAGATCACCCGAGTCAAGAGCCATGGCGAAAGTGTCGTGCAAGGGCGATTGGTCGGGGTACAACAAGGGCCGTGAGTGACCTCCCCCTGCAATCGCTGATCAGTGCAGGCGCCTGCGTCCTGATCTGGGACTACTCACTCAAGACCTACCTCTGCTGTCACTGTCAGCGGACCACGTGCAAGTACGAGACATGAGCGCGAGCCGTAGCCGTTGGTCTCCTGACGATCTCGCCCAACCCCTGCAGCCACATCTCGCACCCCCTCTCCACTCCTGTCGTGTATCAGTATCCTAGTGTATCATGCAGTCGTGACAATGTACGTCGCATGGGACAATGTCGTCCTCGCTCTCTTGCCATTGCCGCATTGCCCTTTGCCGTTGTTTCCCGTTGTCGACATTGCGGTGCGAGGTCAAAAGGCTGGCGTCGACACCCGGCCGCCTGTTGTCCACCACCTTCCTCGCCGCCTCGCACACCGCAGTCCATCAACGGCCGCTCTTGGCCGCTCTTGTCAGTCCCGGCCCCGTCAATGTCGCCCTTTCGCCACGGTCACTGCCCAGCAAGTTGCTCATTCAGTGCGAGGTGAGAAGCCTGCCCAGACTTGTCTGTTGTTCGCCCCCTGTCCACCAGTCCACCACCCTCGCCTCCGTTGTCCGACAATCCTGTTGGCAGCACCCGAAACGGACAGCCAACGGTGGCATCTGTCGAAACTTCCGATGCACACAAGGTGCTGTCCATCATCACCCTTTCGCCGTCCTCGCACTGTAGGAGCACCAGTGCACACTGCCACCAGCGGCAGCACCCGATGCACACAGAACCGCGTCTTTCAGCACACATATATAAGACCCGACAACTTGGGGTCAAGTTTCCACAGCACCGACCTCGCCAACAACCTCAACTACCTCTTCCAACTCCCTAAACGACGCCGCTCAGCGATCGCAGTCTTAACTTGAAACAGGTGAGTTGCAGAGTCAGGATGATGGCTCGCTGGAACAGCGCACGCAAAGGATCTCGAATGGGGCGGGCAGTCACCAAGGCTGCGCCTTGGGCATTGGCCTCGACCGCTGCACCGTTTGACCTGCCGCGCACGATCTGTCGAGTGAGCGCCACGGACGTGGTGGCCAGGGCATGTCTCGAATTTGGGTGCAGCGGCGCTCCCGCCGTCCGCGGTTGAACGGACTGGCAAGGGCTGCCGAGACCGCTATGACCGGCAGCCATGCAGCACGTCTGGAGAAATTGCAGCGGCATGGCAAGCCCCAGCCATGACAGACAAGCCCGACGCCGTGGCTGAAGTTTCGTCCTGGGTCGTTGGCTTGCTTGTGTGTCGCCCCGCAAAACTGGCACGTCTGGTTAATCTGGCACTCTGCACACGCCCAATTGCTCCTGACGCTCCTAAATGTGTCGGCGAGGTCGCATTGTCCACAACTCTGGACACCCAGAGTGAGACAGCGAAACCCTAAACACGCACGCACCACGCTCCCGACCGAGACAGTCGCAATCCCCCCAATCTCTGCGTATCTTTTGCTCCTCGACTTTTTTCTAGCCTTAACTGCCTCTCCAGAGCTGTCATGGTCTGCCATGCAGTGCCGGGGACTGCCGCAGCCTGATGCTATAAAGCTTTAGATGCGTTCTCAACGAGCTAACACCACAGCAACCAAAAACCATCTTCGCCATGGACTCTGACGACAAGTGCCCTGGAACCTGGTGGGGTGACAACGCTGGCTGTAAGTGACGATATGATGATGTGAGCTCCGCTGACAATCAGACGACCACAGGTGTACGTATCCCGCAACTGCTTACCGAGTAGACATGCTGACGAGAACAGGGGAGTGGCAGCCTCTCTACGAGGCCTACTACTGCTCCTACTGCGGAGCGCAGGCGTAGGCGCCCTATCGCCAGCGACCGCCTGGTCTAAGAGATCCACTTCAACAGTCATCCGACGAGAACGATTCCAAGCATCAATACCCAGCATCACTCATTCATTTCCCCTTCTTTGCTGCCCCCTTCACCGTACCGCTCCAATCCAGCAACATCTTTCATCACCGATTCGTAACACACAGATTAGAAGACGTCGGATGCACTGGGATCAAGTAATATTGACAGAGGAGCGACTTTAGCCGCCGAAGCCAGATTCAAAGAGCTGGGTGCGGCTCGACCGGGCCGTCCGACTTCTGGAAGAGGGGTGCCTGATTGTCAGATACATGTAATGAGAACGTAAAGAGGGCAACACGGTCTCGGACAGCCTGGTCAAGCTCCGTGTCGAAGTGGCTGGTAGACCAGGGATCTGCAGGGAGCTGCAAACGCAGTATCGTGCAGCTCTGCACGCATGCTTCTTGATCTAAGTCAGATGAACGGCTCTGCATCGGGGCTGAGCCTGAGAGCTTCTGCAGTGAGCATGACGAAGTTTCCATCAGTGCGCAATACTCTTCCCGACGCAAACGCCCGGCGGCGTCCAAGAGGGTATGAAATTCGACCTGCTTATCACATGGCGCAGACCTTCCGCGCCGGACTGGCCGACATGACTTTGAGATGGCTGTTCATGACAGTTGACCAAACGCGACGCGTCTGTGCTGGGTGACCCTGGAAATTCAACAAAGAGGGGCCGTAAAACGCGTGTGGACATGACGGACATGACAGACGTGACATGACCTGGAGGAAATCCGGAGCAACGGCGTGTGGCTGCGGTCAGCTACGGGAAGGTCACTTTGCGGCGGGAATCGACAAGCGAGGTGCCGAGCGTTGGTATCTCGGTCATTGCATGAGAAAGTGGGAGGTTCCGTCGATCGTCATGCAGCTCCAGGACGAGTTGGCTGGCAGGTCTCGTCAGGGGCACTGACAGGGGGAACCACCACCGTAGGCAGCAAATTGCCACGCGAGGGCGGGAGCAAAACGCGCGTCTCGAGCCTGCCTTCATCATTGAGATTGAGGACCCATGACCCGCGTTTGACGCCATAATCTCTCATCCACCGCCCATCTCGACAGACTGCATCGTCCCCAACAAGGCGCATCGACGCGCAATCTTTTCAGAACTAACGCATTGCCGCACACCGCATCCGATTGATCATTGAACAATCCCCCATCGCCACTTTTGGCCGTGCTATGGACGCGAAGTGAGTCGTCATGAATCCGTCATGTACCAGGGACTAAACATTGTCCCGCGCGAGCGCGCGTCGACATGAGCTTGACATCAACTTTATCCACGGCGATTGATTTCTTTGCTGACATCCACCAGCAACGCTCCAGTAACCCCCAACATCACACTCTCAGACGCCGGTGGCCACGCTCAATCTCTCCCAGGATTCGTCGCACCGACGTCGACGTACGCTCAGGCTCCACAGCTTTCACCTCAGCCCCAGCCCCCGCTACCCGCTTCCCAACCCGATCTCTCCTTGTCTCCTGCTCATCCGAGCGGACAGATGGCCACACCCTCCGCGTCTGCCCCCACTCCGACAGCACAGGTCGCCACCTCGACCGGATTACTCCCCGCGCTGTCTCCCGAAGCAGCACGCCTGGGCCAGTCTCAACCCCAGGCCGCCCAAGGTCAGATGCCAACGTTTGCCCAGCAGATGCCCATGATGCATCCAGGAGGACAACCCCGCCCCGGCCAGCAAGGCTTCGTCGGATCGCCGCACGGCACCCCTGGCGGTAGCCAGAACAACGTGTTCCAGGCCGTCATGGGCGCCGGACCAGGACAGGTGCCGCAAGATGATGTTGGCGGCGCAGGCAACGTCAAGGTCTATGCCAGCGCGTACTCGCAGATCCCTGTTTTCGAAGCGATGATCCGCAACATCTCGGTCATGCGCCGGATGGCTGACTCGTGGGTCAATGCTACGCAGATCCTCAAAGTGGCTGGCATCTCAAAGTCTGTTCGAACAAAGATCTTAGAGAAGCAGGTCCAGACGCAGATGCACGAGAAGGTGCAAGGCGGCTGTAAGTTTGAGAGCTCGCTCGGCGTTGGAAAAGAGCTGACTTCCCAGATGGCAAATACCAGGGAACGTGGATCCCTCTGGATCGCGGCCGTGCTCTTGCCGAGCAGTATGGTGTCCTGCAGTTCCTCGCCCCCATCTTTGACTTTGTCCCCCCGCCGACGGGACCCCCGGCCCTTCCAATGCGTGGTGGTAGTGCCACCCCTAACGCGAAGACCCCTGGTGGAGGCGCTGGCGCGCGCATGCCAGGATCAGCTGGCAGCGCTGGACGGTTAATGTCGCCTTACGCTCGACAGAACGCCGCTGGACCGCCTCCGCCACCTCCGCAATTCATGCAGCAACAGCAGCCCATGCCCGGCCAGCAGGACATGATGATGGGTCAGCCGCAAATGCTGTACCAGCAGCAGAACCAGCCCATGCAGGGCATGTACTATCAGCCGGTGGGACACCCGCAACCACCCCAGCACATGGTTTATGAGCAGGGGCGCGACCCGAACATGGACATGTCGGGCGGCATGCAGATGCAGCCGAACCAGGGAGGATTGGCGCCTCCTGCAAACATCAATGGACATGGCAACGGCATGCAGGGGCTGCCGCAACCGAACGAGATGTACGTGGACCAGTACGGCCAGGCCCACTCGGTTGGTATGCCCAGCGCGGCACCCATCTCCGCAGAAGTCGACGCCCCTCCACCAGCCAAGCGCGCCCGCGTCGACGAGCCGGCCAACGGAGAAGAACCGCAGGAGGGGACTGGAAGTGAGGACGACGACGACGAGACGCGAGACCGACCACCACTGCCGGCGTCATTCCGCCTCTCGACGAAACCGTTCAAGCCGAGACTTAGCTCCGAGTCTCATCGCCGACGACAACAGCTCCTGTCGCTGTTCCAAACGGACACCGTCGACATCCGAAGTGTGTTCGAGCTCGGCCCGAATGACAAGCCTGACTGGGACATTGACATGGTCATTGACGAGCAGGGTCACACGGCCCTGCACTGGGCCTGTGCGCTCGCCAAGATGGACGTCATCTCGCAGCTCATCGAGCTTGGGGCCGACATCCATCGCGGCAACTACTCTGGCGAGACTCCTCTCATCCGCTCTGTCCTCACCACGAACCACGCCGAGGCCGGCACGTTCAGTCAGCTTCTCGAGAAGCACCTCGGCGAGTCTGTTCGGACGCTCGACCACTCGTATGACTCGGTCATCCACCACATTGCCCTCTCTGCTGGACTCAAGGGTCGCGCCGCCTGTGCACGTGGATACATGGCCGCTGTTCTCGGATACATTGCCCAGGAGCAGACAAAGACGCGCGAGCTCGCTCAGTCGACGCCAGGTAACGGCAACGCACTTGCGCCCGCAGCCGCGATCGGCACCGACACCATCAGCCTCAAGCGTCTCGTCGACCTTCAGGACCTGAAGGGCGACACGGCGCTCAATATCGCCGCGCGCATCGGCTCCAAGCCGCTCGTCAATCTGCTGCTCGACGCGGGCGCGGACAAGACCAAGGCTAACAAGCTCGGCCTTCGTCCGTACGACTTCGGTGTTGAGGTCGCCGCCCTCCAGGTCTCTAACAACGAAGCTGTTGTCGCTGCTCTTCGCCCCGAGGTCAAGCGGCCAGAGAAGCGCAGTGCTGATGTTCTGAAGAGTGAGTTGCTCCTACCTACGCTGCTAACTGGTCCCAGACATTTCTGCTCTCTTCGAGGACGTGAACCGGACATTCGATGGCGAAATGGAGAAGCACGTCGAGTCTCTCAATAGTGTTGAGAAGAACGTCCGTGTGGCGACGCGATCATTAGCGGAGAAGCGTCAGCAGGTTGACGCCGCGCGACAGAAGCTCGACACGCTGGAGCAGCAGGCTGCGCGGATCGACAACGCAAAGCGGGCGCTTGAGGCAAACATGGACTGGTCTGGCAGAACACCCCTCAAGGGGGAGTCGTCCTTGCCGCCTGCGTTCGGCCTCGTTCCCCCACTCGCTCCCGCAGCCGGCGAGCCGTCTTCGGCAACGCCGGCCACCGACCCGCCCATTCCCGCTGTTGGCGAGGCAGGTGCGCTTACGCAACTGCGCCGGCTGGCGATGTGGGAGGACCGGATGGCCAAGTTGCTCGAGGAGCGTGCTGCCGAGCTGGAAGGCGACGGTGCCGATCGTGCCGTCAAGTACCGGAAGGTGATCGCGCTGTGCGCCAAGGTGCCTGTCGAGCAGGTTGATGACGTGAGTATTGGCGCGATGCATCGACGCGCGTCGCGATTCCGCAACTCTGGGGACGGCGGACGCCGGAATATGCGGCGGGAGTCGTACGTTCCCGGATCCTGGAACCTGGATCGAAACCTGGACGGCCAGGAGATAGGAAAACGCGACGCGGATCATTGGGCCAGGGTCTATTGCAACAAGCCGCTGACATCAGATGCTCGACGGACTGACCACGGCGGTCGAGAGCGACGGGCCCGCCATCGACATGACGCGCATCGCAGGCCTCGTGCACCGGCTACGCGCCGCGCCCGTGTCGGCATAAGCATAGCGTGCCGGTCCTATCAGCGCGCAGCGCGTAGTGCGCATGCGGCTGTGAGCGGAGATCGGACTGCTGCGTCCTGTGCTACCGCAGCTCCGTGTCAGCGAGCCTGGCGCTCACTGAAGCACGACGTCAACACCACGTCAAGGAAGGAATCAGGACACTGGATTGGATGCTCTGGAGAAGAAGACCTCATTGTACAGAATACAGAATACGCAGTTGCCCTTTGGAACAGAACCAGTACAGCGCTCTGTGCAGTAGACGTGGGGCAGCGGATATCGTATCGGAGATGAGACAGCAGGACTGACTCCGGATAGCGGACACGGCGAGCCGCACAACAGTGGGTCTGGATCACGCGTTAGGACAGGAACGCGTGAGCGCTTACCTGCCCACGCTGGGCTATCCTTTGGAAGTTGCTCTCGCAGTGCTCGCCATGCTCGCCGTGTTGTTGCGATACTGCTCGTGACGAGCCCCCGTGCGCGATCGCACCTTCAAAGTTAGCTGGGGCCAGGACCCAGGGCCAGGACCGCGAGTGAATTGCCGTTCTGATCAGAGATGAAGTCTATGGTCTGTCGAATCAGCATCCGGACTTGTCAGCACTCATGCTGGTCAGGTGTGACGGAACAAGCACAACGGTGTGCATGACGTCAGTCTCGTGCTCATCCGCGTGAGCTCCGGCGTGCAAAGTGCACAGCGGATGCAGCGGATGTCATCGATGTCAGGTGAAGGATGGATGACAGTCGGACGACAGGCACTGACGTCATAGAGCTCGATCCTGGTGCGGACCCTGCGGTCTCGGCCCACACGCTGGGGGCGCGGGGCGGGGTGCACGGAGGCCACGGCGTAGGGGGCGCAGGGCGCACACGGGGGGGCGGGGGCGGGTTGTCACAGGTTTCGAACGTGAATGTCCAGCGGGTACACTGACGTCACTGTGCCTGACAGTTTGCGCAAGTGGCCCTCTTGCTGTCCTCAGCGGAATGCCAACATCCCACCTTGGCAGACTGGCATGGCACGTCTCGCAGCGCGCAGCTCGCAGCGCGCACACTGACACGTTGGCGTGCTCGACGCTGCCCAGCACGGGATCCTAAGGGAACCGTCAGAGCCTGAAGGAGCCTGAAGGGGATGAGGCTGGTCAAGAGATGTGCGCGAATAGCCGGCACTCCCCCTGGTCAGGCTGAGCCCACGCGCTGCCGCGCTGCCATGCTTCTCCTTCGGCGCGCGCGGCGCGGACAGATGGCAGAGTGGGCGTATGGGCGTCGGCTGGCTCGCTCGCCCTCGCCGGACACGGTTGGAGCTAGCCGTCGAGGCCGGCTGGTGGCCATCGTGTTGGAGGTTCGGTGGCCAGAAACGCATATATAAACAAGGTCTTGGACGGCTCTTCTGTTTCCCATCAACCAACTCTCTCTTCTTCTCTACCTACCTCCCCCAACAACAACTTATCAACAATGTCTGACACTGGCCGCCAGGGACTCGGAGACAAGGTGAGTCTACTCCCTCGACTGGTCTAGCTCGTCGCTCTTGGTGGCTCTTCAAATCGCCTCAAGAGCAGCAGCTACGACTCGCCCCATCCTTCTCCATCTCGCACTTGCTAACATCACCCAGCTCTCCTCCGCCGCTAAGCCCGACTCTGAGAAGTCGTACCTCGAGCAGGCCGGCGACTTCGTCAAGGGCAAGGCCGACGCCGTTGCCTCCGCCGTCCAGCCCCAGCAGGAGAAGTCGACCACCCAGAAGATCGGCGACGCCATCTCTGGTGACAACACCAACCGCAACATCGCCTAAGCGTGTCCTCCCTTCTCCTCTCGAATCTAGGATATCAGTAGTGTGATATGACGAGCCCGCGAGGGCGGCGTCGATGCAGTTAAATTAAACTAGGAAACCCCCCTCCGCTGCGACTGACCTTGCGAACACTGATGATCACAACTAACACCTCGCCTCGCCTATCCATATGCCGCCAACAACTTCGACAGCTAACCCCCCTTCGCGTACGACTGGCCTTCGCCATCCTCATGCACTACACCGGCATCCCATAACATGGCCTGATCTCGAACTCGATCTCGATGTCAACGACGCTTGAACGGTCCCCCGCTCCTCAAACGTTCCTGATGTCCGACGCCGACCCAGCAGTTCAGTTCGACAAATGAGTGTCAACTTATCAGAATCACCTCCGCCCTCAGGCATCACCCTAGCTGACACCATCGTTATCGCCGTGCCTCAACGTGCGTCTTCACACACATCCGGCCCGACTAGCACATCGACGTCAGGCATCCGATGCCATTGACGTTGCTTCCGAGCCGCCATCTGCGTCCGTCGTTGTTCTCTCCCACGATCTGAAACCTCCGTCTGCGCGACATCGCCCGGCGCACGTTCAGGCATCCGTCTCCCCGTTGCCTCCGTGCTGGCTGTGCTCCGATACCTCCGTTTGGAGGTTTGGAGGGAGCATTTCCAGCATACGGCGGGCATGGGAAACGGAATCGAGGGCACTCCCTTTGATCGATCCAATCGAAGTGTGGATCCGGGGTCCTCACCAGCGTGACATAGTGCATTGCTCCGTTGCCACATACCACGGGCGACGCTAGTGGGTGCCCACGCACAGTTAGGTCAATGAACCCGGGCGCCATCGACGCCATCGGCGCCATGGCCAAGCCATCCACGCCAATCAAGCCACCCGTCATGTACTCCACACCTTAGCACAGTTCTGCGACACTAGTCTGCCAAAGTCTGACATTCTGGATGATCTTGCACCTCTCCACTGCACCACTGTCGCATTGTCTAGCTCGTTGGTGCATGGGTGAGCCCGGCGGCAAACAGTTGCCAGCCAATTCGCAGCAAGCATACCAAGTCTACACGCTGCCTGCATGCCAGATCTCGGGATTGTCAGGCTCCACCACGTCGAGCTGCGTGCAGCCGCAGCGACGCGCAAGCACGCGCCGCATGCCGAGCTCCAGCCGCGCAGCCGTGCGCCGCGGCAGTCTCAGCAGTGACCTCACAGGCCCACAGGTCCGCGAGCAAGGGGCTGAGGGATTTGTTTGCAGGGCAAGGTGGGTTAGGATGGTTGGGTTGGGCCTGGCATGCTTCCCCCCACTCTGGCTCTGGCGCCGGCAACTCCACGCCGGCCAGCCCAGTTGCCAGCGAGTCACGGGATTCCGCTCGCTCCGTATTCCGCAGAACGCCGTGCCTCGTGCAGAACTGCTTCATCCGGTCTATCCTCTCCTGCGCTAATTGCTCCAGTTGCGTATGCTGGAAGCAGGCCGATGTGCATTGCTCGTCAGTGCTCGTTCTGACGATCGTGCAGACTGTTTTGCATGCTATGTGTCACGCAGGAGGGATTCGCCACCGGTCCTCGGTCATGGGCACCGCACATCTGCATCTCGACGCGCCGATCGCGGAGCGCGTCCGTCGCGTCACGGCCAGCGCCGCATTAGGCCCAGCCAACCCCTGCTCGCGCCCGCTCATCACCAGACCCCGATTCCTCACTGTTAATTATAGACCCGTGAACCCAACTTCCCCACCCGCCATGGATCCGCGACATCATTTGAAGGATCCAAGCTGTGATCCCTTAGGGGATGCAAACAAAGGTCTAAAGGAACACAGGAAACAGGATGCAAGCTGCCCGCTGGCCGCTCGCCGCGCTGCCGTGTCTAAACCAGACGCCGTTGTTGATCGCGTGCACGTCTGTTGGGAACAGGGTCGCCGTTCGTCGAGTTCTGCATCTTACAGTGTCAGACCTTGAGCGGACTTCCGCACTTGTGGGGGCAAGTTGCTCGCACAGAGTCGGTACAGAACTTCCTTCCTCCCCGATGCAAGAGTGGGCCAGGCTTCGGTGCCGTGGAGCTTTGAAGTGGTCAGCTGCTTGGGACGAAACGATGCAAGCGAAGAGTTGGAGCATGGAGCTATCGCTCGCTTGCAGAGAGGACCTGATATCAACGTCAGGCTGGCGGAAGAGATCTCCATCACATGGCAGATGATCTTCGGTCCGTTATCTCTAAGCGAGGTGAGGTGTTCGGATGCTTCTGTGCGATGTCGGACCCAACTCATCAATCCCGCGTGCACCTTCTTGGGCCGGGAAGTTATGTTTTCCTCGTCGTCGCCGCACACTCAGAGAACACCTCCAAACTCGCGCCTCATCGACGAAGACAGATCGAAGTTTTTGGCGCAGCACACTCACGATGGTGCCTAGGGAAGGTCGGCGTGTTCTAAGATAGCAGCTGGGGTGACGTCACTCACGAGGTGGAGGGATCGTCGAGACTGTGCAAGCCATCGAGCACGGGGCTTGCGCTGTCTTCCTCGCTTCCTGACCGTCATCCTCGCTGTCCTTCCTTTATCCCTTCTAACGTACGAACATGACAGGACCACCACCTCAAGCACCCCCACCGTCAACAGCTCCAAACCAGGCGCCCAACCAACAATCGTCCTCGTCCTCGGCCTTCTCAGATGCGGCTGACTCGTGGGAGGCGAAAGCCCTTGCAGCCTCGCTCGGACATGTTGTCGAGAACGTCGGATTGCACTTCCTCGGCGGAGGGAAGGAGTACCCTGCGCGTGAGCTAACTCCCATGGCACCATAAAAGCTGACAGAGACAGCATCCGAGGCTCAGAAGAATCTCGAGTCTGTTCATCCAACGCTGAAGGAAGCTAGGCAGGCTGTGGCAAGCTTCTTTCCCTCCTCCGAGACATTGGACAAGGTGAGTTAGGGGGTATGGACACTAGCTGACTGGACAGCTCTTCGCGAGGGAACGTCTGGGTACGTTGGAGCTCTAACGACCTCAAGTTTGAAGCTGATCATCAGGAAACTATGTCATGGACCGCAAAACGGGGCGCAAGGTCTTCGAGCCAATGCCGCTTTGTGCGTAGCTTCTAGAACTTCCGCGATCAAGCTGACTGCAGACGTCCGGATAGGAATGCACCTCCTCTTCGTGTCCGGGGTGAGCTGCAGATTGGGGCATAGAGCTAACGGACAGGAGAACCTCGTGCAGAGAGGCAAGATCCAGCAGATGCTCAAGACCCAGAGCGTGCGAGGTGGGTCACAGTTTGCATAATGTGAACAAGCTGATATGCAGAGGGTAAGCTGTACGACGCCACCGGCCCTCAGGTCAAGCAGCACATCGCAAAGTTCATCGCGACGTACCAGCTCGACACGTCTCAACTGCTTGAACAAGATCTGGACAAGTATCCCGTGAGCTCGTCCGGGGGACACTGCGAGCTGACAGCCCAGACCATGAACTCGTTTTTCGCCCGTAAACTCGTTCCTGGAGCGCGCCCGATCGCATCCGCCGACGACCCTAGTGTCATCGACTCGCCCGCCGACTGCCGCCTCTCATGCTTTGACACAGTGAGCGACGCCACTAAGTTTTGGTATGTCACAGCTTCCAAGCGGCTTTCGATAAGCTGACACGCACAGGGTGAAAGGAAAGCAGTTCACGATTCCGCACCTGCTGGGCGCGATTGATGACGATACGGCGAAGGGGTTCACCGATGTCTCCGGAGACAACGCCACTACGGCGACTTCTCAGAAGCAGCCCGCCAACGCGCCTTCGGACCCCAAATCGGAGATCGCGAAGAATCCGAAGGTGACGAACAATACGAACATTTCCGACCAGAAGCAGGACCAGGCGTTGCAGTCCTTCCTTCGACACTCGGATTATGCACTCGCTGTTGCCCGCCTCGCACCTCAGGACTACCATCGCTTCCATTCACCCGTCGACGGCGTCCTCGTTTCGCAAACCGACATTGATGGTGACCTGTATAGTGAGCTACGTGGGCCTTGTCCGAGCTGACCAACAGCTGTGAACCCGCAAGCTGTAAACGAAAGTAAGTTACAAGCGCAGCGTGATGATGATCGACGCGGACCTGGGCCCCGGTCTCGAAAACACGAGCACCGCCTTCGTCGCGATCGGTGCGATGCTGGTCGGTTCCATCGTGTGGAGCAAGAAGCCAGGCGACCGCGTGCGCAAGGGCGAGGAGCTGGGCTACTTCCAGTACGGCGGAAGCACGTGCATCGTCGCCTTCCCTGGGCACTGCGTCAAGTTTGACAAGGATCTGATCAACACCTCGGACGACGGCATGGAGACGCTCGTCAAGGTCGGCGAGCACATCGGTAAGGCGGAGCGGGTTCAGTAGAGCGTACCTATGTGCTTGACAGGCGCCCAGCCGGATGCCTAGGAGCCGTAGATCTGATGGGGCCCGTGTCGCACACCAAGGCCGCAGCGTCGACATGCCTCACATGCCCGCCCCAGGCATGCTGGATGCGATTGGGGCGGAGTATCTGTTTACGAACGTGCTGGAACGTGTTGCCCGGTACTCGTCGGCGATGACGGGTCGTATCGCATTCGCAATGCGGCAATGCGAGGATTTGGCACGAGAGAAGCAACGATGCCAGTGAGCATTCTTAGAAGCTGCTGCTGTTGATGCATCAGTCTATTGTCGAGCGGAGGAAGCATCGCGGCGGGTGTTCTGCCTCTGCCACGTGAACGTGCGAAAGCTGGGTCTGGTTACAATCGAACCGGACGCACGGTCAACGGCGCCTGTGATCCGGCCCAGGTGGTCGCCGTCTTGACCTGCCGATGGTAGAGGGTAGCTGAGCTCCTCATGGCACTTTCAGGGGACGAACGTAGTGATCGTCGGGCGACTCAGTCGCGCTGCATTGGCGGTACGGGAGTGGCGTCTCCAGGCATTGAGCTCGGGAGCATGAGGATGTGCTACGGCTGGGATTAGTCTTGGAGTCAATCACGCCGATGTGTCAAGCAGCGGGGCGGCGGCGAGCCCCGGTGGAAATGTTGTTCCGGAATTACTTCCTCTCCCTCACAAGACAAGGGCCCTGGCTGGTCAGCCGCTATCTGCGCATCTGCGGATCTCGTGCCGTCTGATCCGCTGTCTCATCCTATCGAGTCGTCATCTGTGATCCGTTCCTCGCCTCTTTCCTCGAGCCGGAGTGCAGGTGCGGATTAAGGCAGGCAGCCGGGTCCGACGCCGACCAAAGGCGTTATCTCTGCACCTCGTCCAACGGGCGTGGACAACCCCCCCCCCTTGTAGTGGTGCGTAGTGGGGAGCGAGGAGAATGAAATGCCGGTAGGGAGCGCAGTCAGATCTGAACAAACAGCAGGGAGAAGCCAAGATATCGCGAAGACAAAGAGGGACAAGCTGGCTGATCGGTCGTGCCTCGCCGCCAGGCCGGTGGCACCCCACCCTGCCGAAGCGCATGAAATTTACGACCTGCCTTCCTTTGCCCGCCAGGCTCACAAGACGCACTCGCAAGTGTCCGAGCGCGACACATGTGCTTGTGCACTCGTCCCTGCTACCCCGTCTCGCTTCCTCTGGAGATGTGCCAGGCTCCCCAGGCTCGAAGGGCGGAGATGCGAAGCATGCGCTCGCGTAAAACAGCCAGTGACGACGCCATGGTGCACAATCGTCGCCCAAGGGCTGCAGGCCGCCTGCCGAAGCCACGGCACACATCAGAGCACAGCACAATGCCGCTAAACGAGATGGCAGGGCTGACTGGACTGCCTGGGGAGACACCGCCGTCACAAGGGCCGGGTTCACTTCCCTCCGGCAGCCCAGGGGCCAGCGGCGCCGCTGCCGTGCCGTGTCGCTCGCGCTGCTGCACTGTCGCGCCGCCCTATTCCTGGGAGGTACCTTCCCATTGTCGGGTCGGTAGTGCGCGGCCGCCGCAGCCACATGATCAGAGAAGCACAGGCAGCGAAAGGGACGGACGCCACCGAGTGTGACGTTGTGTTTCTGATCTTCTCGGCTTTGTCAGGCAGGCAACGTCCGAACGAGACACACGAACGTACAACAGCACAAAATCTGTCGGGCACGTCGGCCTCGCACTCCTCGCCTTTCTTCGTCCATTCCCTTTCACACGGCCTCGAGCTGGGGGGTATATAGTCTGCTGGCCTGAGTGTTAGATCCCCCCGTCAGGCTTGTCTCTTGACAATCCTTCCCTACCCTCCTTACCCCACTCCTCGCCACCACCCCTGAAGTTCTCATCGGAGGACGCTCGACCCGACATCTCCTCGTCGATTGTCGACATTTACAAGGCCATTGGCCTTATCTTCTCCCTCGATCTCGCTTCTGTGCTCAACACCGGCAATCGGTCTACTGACGCGATGTTCACCAAGTTCACTCTCCCGAAGCAGTACGACGGCGACCCCGTCACGAAGCGCTTATGGCTACAGTCGCGCCGCAACAGCGCCGGCGAGGTCATTCCCGCCGGCCAAGCTCGCTCCTTCACGCTTGCCAACGTTCGCATTGGCTTCGATGCGCTCTGTATCCTTATCCCTCGCCTGTTTGATCTCATGCGTTCCCCCGAGTACGCGGACGCTCTCCGCCTCTTCCTCGAGTACTTCTCGATCATCGTTGCGTCCGCTCTTCTGCCTTCCTTGTCGTGAGTAACACACCCCTTTCTTCGCCTCTTCGCCCCCAAATTTCACTGACACACAGGATGTGGACGACGACCAAGCTCATGGATCTAGCCGAGACGAGTCTGACTGGCGGCGACGTCTCCGTCTCTCTTGCGACCTGGACTGCCGGCATGGTCATCATGGTCCGCATTCTCTCGCACGTCACGCGCAGCCGCGAGGAACGCCTCGACCGCCGCCTGTCCGAGCTTTACTCCTGGAAGATCGAGCGCGCCTATCTGTCACTGAAGCTTAGCGAGCATCCAGCCGGCCCTCGTGACGATGACCGGGTCGCAATGCTGCACGAGGCGGCCGTTCATGCCGGCAAGGAGCGCGCGTACGACGCCAACGGCTCGGGGCGTTGGATGCTCAGCGAGCCCAAATATCGCGTGCGCTCGCTGTGTCTCCTGTTCAAGCGTATCCTCGGTATCTCGTCCGAGCTCAGTGTCGCTTGGGTTGCTCTCGGCGGCTCGGGTGTGTCGGGTTACGCCCTCTCGATCGTCTTCCTGCCCTGGCTCGCCCGTGCTATCCAGGGTCTCTGGCCGCACCAGACTTACCAGGAGAAGCGCATCAGGCGCTCACACGAGCAGCGCCAGCTCGAGTCGTTGAAGCACGCCCTGGACAGCGTGTTCCGCAACCATATCGACGAGATTCACATGTTGCAAATGCGCGAGTTCCTCCTCGAGAAGTGGGAGCAGACCGTCGAGGGACTCGCCGAGGTGCGGGAGACGCCTGCCAGCAAGAGCACCTCGCTCATCGACTCGATCCTCAGCACCCTGTCCTGGTTTCTCATCGCGACCAAGCTGGTCTCCATCGATGCCAGTCTCGGAAGCCTCCTCGTCATCCACCACGTCATGGAGGATCTCAACTGGCGCCTGTCCGACTTCGTCGACAACACCTGCGACGCGCTGAACAACGTCTTCTTCTTCCTCCCCTACGTCGCAGCCAGGGACGACGAGAACAACCGCGCCGCCCTCATCGACTACGAGACCACTCGCGGCCGCATCGCGAGCCCCGCCGCCAAGGAGCGTCTCCTCCAGCGCATCGCTGAGTCGATGGATCTCAAGAAGCTCCGCGAGGCTGCTGAGGCCGAGTCTACCTCCACCGACGACCTCATCGAGATGAAGCGTGACACCAAGCTGGCCACCGAGCCCATGGTCGGTCTCGGCCTTGAGCTGGGCACCGATGTGGATGGCCTGGAGATGACTTCTTTGGGCAGCGGGAAGGATATGGCCAACAAGTCCGCCGACGCCGCTGAGGCGGCCCCAAAGAAAACCGACGACATGGACAAGGCCCCGGCGACCTCTACCCCAGTCGACAAGCGTATCTCCCTCATCTCCGAAGAGGAGCGCTCGGTGTTCCGTGTCGACAGCGGTGTCGGTTCGCTCGCGAGCGAGGCAGACGACAATCGTAGCGGGATGGTCGTCTCTCTCTCGAATGTCACGGTCTCGTACCCCGACGGCGCCCTTGCCGTGAAGGATGTGTCTCTCGAGATCGCCGCCGGCGAGACACTCGCGATTGTTGGACACAACGGGTCCGGCAAGACTACTCTCGTCAAGGCTCTCCTCGGTTTGGTTAGCTGTGACGGCACGATCAAGATGAACGGCGTGCGCGTGCAGGATCTCGACCCCGCGAGCATTGCGCGCCGCGTCGCGACCGTTTTCCAGAGCACGATCAAGCACGGCCTTACGCTGCGCGAGGAGATCAACATCGGCAGCCTGACCACTCCCTCCATCCTGCCCCGTGCTGTGAAGCGCGGCGGCGCCACGCCGATCCTCGACCGCGTCGACCTCGACACAACCCTGGCCGCATGCACCCGCGAGCATGCCGAGAAGTACTACAAGCTCACGCGCGACGATGTCGCCATCGGCGACTTCCACAAGCGCGCCCGCAACGATACATACCTCTCCGGCGGGGAGTGGCAGCGCGTCGCCCTCTCTCGCGCCTTCATGCGCGCGCACGCGGATCTCATTGTCTTCGACGAGCCCACCGCCGCCCTCGACCCTCGCGCCGAGAGCGAGCTGTTCGAGAATCTTCTGTCTCTGGGCAAGCGCCACGAGTGCACTACCATCTTCATCAGCCACGGGTTCGGTAACGTCCGCCGCGCCGACAAGATCGCCTTCATGGAGCGCGGCCGCATCGTCGAATATGGCACGCACGAGGAGCTCGTCGCCCTCAATGGCCGCTACAACGAGTTCTACTCGCTCCAGGCCAACCGCTTCAAGTGAGCGTAATGGGTCTACCCCTACCCCTACACGCCTCTGCAACCCATACTCATCCCAAAAGCGCCTTCCGCGGACATCAGGAAGGACGTTGTAACAATCGTAATGCTCATCAGTAGCAAATCTCACGATATCACGAAACCCATCATCATAGACTCTCATGCGACTGTGTACAATAGGACATGCCGCGCTCGACTCACCCCTGAACTGATACCATCGAAGGGGGGACGTGGGCGGACTGAGAGTGGGGTGCTAGCAAAAGGTGGGAATAGAAGGTCTTATGTCCGTTTCACCTACCGTCCACCTCTGCGTTGGGCCCAGCTCATCCGCCACAACTTTGCCGTTAACACTTGAATCCATTCTAAACGTTCAAGACCTCATCTCAAGGCCTTCCCAGCATGCATATAGCACGGTTGAGAGGCAAAAACGTGACCTCTGGCGGGTTCGAACCGTCGACCTCTCGCGATCATCGATGTGAAGCGAACGCTCTAACCAACTGAGCTAAGTGGCCTGCTAATAGGCTCATGATCGCGAGGAGCGCGGCTGCATCATCCTCGCGGGCCGTTTCGGCGGCCTGAAATGCACTCGAAGCGCTGTGCTTCGATTGAGGAGCACGAGCTGAGCTGAATGGCGCCAGAAGCAGCTCGCGATGTGTGGTGGTGTTCGAAACAGCTGTGGAAATGCTCGACGTGCAAGTTGTGAGCGAGGTTTTGATGGGGATCTGCATGAGCGAAGATCGTTTGCTGAGTCAGTAGCAGGACGCCGGCCTTCCGCCAACTTGTCAGGTGTCGGAGACCCGCCGCTTTCTGTCGGACTCGACATAACGGCCTCTGCTGTCAGTAGCACGGGAGGGGCAAGAGAGCTGAATTCATTGGTGTCAAGAAAGAATAGGCTACAGGTGTTGAAATGTTAGCGACGTATAGTCCTCAGCCGTCCACGAAAAGAATGGCCAAGGGTGGACGACGCAGCGCCGGCCGCCCTCGGCTGTGAAACCCGTAGGATCCACAGCTTCAGGCGACACAGGTTGTCTAGACCTAAGCCGCTATTCTTCCAGTCATATAGTAAGGGCGCCCACTAGGATGTTCTCGAGGAACGGGAAAACGCTCTAGGCAATGTCTGGGTCGTTGCTCGTGTCTGAGCAAGAGCTTCGAGAGGTAGAGGGAGAGGGAGAGGGGAGGGAGGGGGGGGACGGACGCCACCGCCTGAAAAGAAGGAAGACAGCGGGAAAAGGGACGCGAAAGCGGGAGAGTGGAGGGGAAGCAGGGAGGGGAGATAGGTGAGCAGATAGTCAGTAGTCGCCGCAGCGCGTATCGTGGAGCTCTTGCATGGCCGTTTCGACGATGGTGGGATGGTGAAGTGACAGAGAGATGGTCAGTTTCGACTTTTTGTAGCTCGTCGATTTGGGTGCGAGCGATCGGGGTGTGGCAACACGTCATTCCGTGATAAGGCCGGTGACTTGTGGCGAGAGTTCACATTTCGGTGAGTTTTTGGCTGGTCCCCTTTGCATGCAGCATGGTGCGAGGAACGCGGTTTACCCCGTGGGAAGAGAAGCACTGCGGGCCCCCGGATCGATCATGGAAGCTTGTTGATGCGGCGGAGACTCTGGAGCTGAAAGGAAGCAGCCGAGGATGCGCACTGCTGACGAGCTCGGCGATCGGCGACCGTGAGGAGCCTACGCAGCTCGGCAATGCGGTCGCCATCGAACGTGCGACGCATGAGTAATCCGTGCAGCTTCCCAGCATAGCAAAACCCCAAAGAAAGAAATGCATGAGTCTAGTTTAGTTTAGTTGAGAGGAGCCTCGGCGGGGACCTCCTTGATCTGCTCGGTGCCGGTGAGCGTGCGAATGGTGACGGTGCCGTCCTCGTTGCCGAAGTAGGCACCCTTGGCGAGGCCGCAGAAGAGACCGACCTCAACAACACCAGTGATGAGCTTGAGGTTGGTGAGGAGCTTGAAGGGGTCGCGCATCATCTCCTCGGGGAAGGGGCAGTCGACGATGAAGTTGCCGTTGTCGCTGACGACGGGGCCGGCCTTGGCCTTGCCCATGCGCAGAACGGGGGCACCGCCAGCCTTCTGTAGCCGGTCCATGACCTGGACGTAGGCGAAGGGAACGACCTCGACGGGGATACCCTGCTTCCACTGGGATGTAAGCTCACGCCGACGATCGTGGGAGCTGGATACCCGGCTCTGAGGTTGCTGGCCGTGCGCGGCTAAGTACTCACGTTCTGGCCGAGGATCTCGGAGTTCTTGCGGAAGTCGGCGACAGTGACCCAGACGTCGGACATGTCGGCGAGGACCTTCTCGCGAAGCTGGCAAGCGCCGCCGCCCTTGATCGAGTTCAGCTGGGCATCGACCCTTCCTGTTAGCTGATCCGCTCAATCCACAGCTTCGGACTCACTCATCGGCACCGTCAATGCAGACGTCGAGGCGGGTGTACTGGTCGACGTCACCGAGCTGAAGACCGGCGTCGATGATGAGCTGCTTCGACTGGAAGCCTGCAAAGTTAGCTCGTGGCGCAGATGACGACAGCTGATCTACGCGAAGTGCAGAGACAAAGTAGGCGCAACTATTACAGTGCATCCCCTTAAGCCGACATCAATGACTCACCAGTGGGAAAGAAGAGGCGGTCCTTGTTGGCCTCAACACCCTGCTGGACGATGCGGTCGACGACGTAGGGAACGGTCGAGCCAGAACCGATACCGACGAGCTGTGAGGGTCAGCTACTGCAACGCCGTGCATAACGGAAATCCAGCTGAGACAAGTCCGCGGAGTGTGAGAGCTACAGCAGAATCCGCTGTATCCGCCAACTATGCTCTGCGGACTCGTTGGAACAGCTCGGATAGCTTCAGAAGGCTATCGGAGCGACTTATGACGTGCCTCCACCTTTACGTACCTTGGAGCCCTTGAGGACGTGACGGTCGACAGCGGCGTAAGCAGCCAGACGCTTAGCGGCCTCAACACCAGAGAGAGCAGGGAGGGCCATCTTGCGGACGATGCGAGTGGGTAGAATGGTGAAAGTGGAGTGCGGAGGAGAGTGCGGATGAGGAATGATCGGCCACCGTACCAAGCTCCGGGGAACTGGACTTCCCATCAGCGAACTTTTGTGTGGCGACCGCCTTACGTAAACAACAATTCCGCTTAGCGCTCGGACTTCGAACATCGCGTTTCTCGCCTACGGAAGATCTAGATCTGTAATCTATGAATGCGCAGATTGTCCGGACTCCGAGGAGGCGGCCTCCGAGAATGCGGGGTTGCAGCGCATAATGTCATCATGTGCATCACAATAGTGATATCTTTAACAAAGGAGAGGAATTAGATTAACGGTTCCCCGTTTTTAGAACTAAACGATCACCAGGCGCGGACCATAGGCGTCCACGCTGCCCGGGGGGTATCAGAACAGGTCACGAACGGCTCAAAGGCTCTAAGCTGAAGGAGCAGGCTGCTGCTGCTGCTTGGCAGAGCTCTCCTTGAGCGCAAGGAGCTGCTTGGAACGGAAGGTCTCGTAGTGGATCTGGCTGGTGGTCTCAATCAGGTCCTGGAGGTGGGTACGCGTGAGGAAGTTGCGGAGGTAGACAAACTCGCAGTGAGTCTCGTCCTCAACGTTGACAACACCCCAGCGGTGCTTGCGGCCGCGGACCGGCTTACCGTCGACAACGACCGTGCGCTCAGAGCCGACAATGGCGAAAGGAAGCATGTTGCGGACGCGCTCGTTCAGGTCGAGCTCCTCGGCGTCGAGCTCATCGCCGTCGAAGGGGTAGAGTCGGATCTGGTGGTGCTGGAGCTCAGCCATGATGCGCTGCTTGAAGGCGGCGCGCTCCTCAAGGGTGAGCGAGTCCGACTTGGCGATAACAGGGACGACGTTGACGATCTCGCTGAGCTTCTTGAGCACAGTAATGTCGATGGGCTTGAGGGTGTGGCCGGTGGGGTTGATGAAGAAGACACAGCAGTGGATGCGGGTGTCGGGGATGAAGCGCTCACGCATGGCGGTCAGCTCCTTGCGGAGGTAGGCCGAGTGCTGGTCCTTGATGTACTTGGCGATAGGGTCCCAGCACTGGTCATTGTTGACGAGGTCTCCGTAACCCGGGGTGTCGATGATGTTCAGCTTCAGGCGGACGCCGTTCTCAACGATGACTGCGGGTTAGCTTGAGTCACCTGGAGGGGCAGCTTTCGAGGACGCCGAACAGTTCAGAGCGCGATCTAGCTCGCGCACTGACCGCTCTGCGTCAACAAGACCTGACTTACCGTGCGAGTTGGCGTGGATCTCGGTGGTCGAGCGAGGGGCGATGTCGGGCTCGGTGCGGCCCTTCGAGTCGACGAGGTGCGAGGCGAAAAGAGTGTTAACGAGGGTGGACTTGCCGAGACCGGTCTGGCCTGAAAAGAGTCAGCACTGCTGCACGGGCCATGTGTGTCTTCCTCATCCGCTGCAGGTCGCCGCGACATCCATCGCTTTCGTCCCACACGAGCTGTGCAAATGGTCTCGCGTCATGTCCAAGCCTCGGGGCACGGGGGAAACACGCTGATACGTACCGACAACCATGACATTGAACTGGAAACCGCGCTTGAGAAGCTTGTGTTCGATCTGCCGGGTGATCGCTGCAAAGTCAGTACGTCGCTGGAACGGGGACACGCACAGTCGAAACCGACGTAGGAGGCGGCGACGATATCCTCGGGGTTGTTGGCGACGGCGGTGGCGGCCATGATGGGTATGAGTTTTGATGTAGTGGGTAGGTGATGAAAGACGGAAGGACGATGAGGACGAGGAGGGAGATGAGGAAGGACGGACGATGCGTCCAGGCAGTGTGCCAGGTGCATGGGTTGGTGCCTATGCTCGTCGCGAGAGGCAGCGCGCTGGCGGGAGACAGCACCCTAAGCTGCCTGGCCGCGCTGGGCTAGAACGAGCAAAGGGCCGAGCGCGCCAGCGCGCCAGGTTGGCACCCTCAGGGTCCGCGACGCGGATACGGGACACAAGGGGGAAATAGTGTGGGACACTCAGTCACGTGAGCCAAAGGAGTAAAGGATTAGGGTGAGAAAAATCGCGAGAGAAAAACCGCCATGCAGGAACCGCGTGGAGAGTGAACTCTAATGTGGGCGGACTCGATAACTGCCTTCCAAATGGAAGTGGAGGCCTGTCCCCAGAGTCCACTCAGACACTGCAGTCACGCGCGTCATCGAGCACATCTTATCTCGATATCTTTACACCTTCCCCCTTTGCACACCGAGAAGGATTCGGTCCGGAGTGTCGAAATGGTCCGTATGATCAATCAGCTACGTGGCAAGTGCTGTAGCTAACGTCAGCCGCGTTTATTAACAAAGTCGAGCGAGAAAGCAATCACGAATGAGTTTCGCGACATCACCGGCGCCTCGTGAGCTCTTCGATTGTCACCAAGCTAACAAAACAGGGCTACGGACGCAGCGAAATGGCTGAAGAAGTACAAGTTCAACATCCAGGCCGCCGTAGAGGGGTACCTGGACGCCGGTGCCGGGGGTGACGGGGCGTTTGCGAACCGGGCGGCGAACGAGAAGAAGATCGGCGACATTTGGGAGCAGTTCAAGGGTGAGCTGCTCCGGGCGGCACGCTAGCTGACGACGCAGACGAGTCGGACCCCAAGCTTATCACGATTGAGGGAACGATGGCGCTCTGCTCCGAGCTCGGCATCGACCCTTCCTCGGACAGTGTGCTGTTCTGTCTTGCCTCGGACCTCGGCTCGAAGGCGACGGGCGAGTGGGCGAAGGAGCCCTTCGTTCAGGGCTGGCTCGAGATTGACCCATCGTAAGATTTGCTCGCGCGTCGCAAGCTGACAGCAGCATTGACAGCCTGGCCAAGATGAAGGCGGCGCTTCCCGGACTGCGGAAGAAGCTCAACTCCAACCCGGCCTACTTCAAGAAGGTGTACATGCACACCTTCGATCTATGCAAGGCTTCCGGCGCGCGCTCCCTGACTCTCGAGACTGGTAGGCTATTGTTTGTCGGCCATAGCTGACATCAGCACTCGACATGTGGAACCTCTTCATCCCGCCCGCGCTCGCCGCGACCCCGAGCGCGCTTAGCAAGCTGCCCCCCGGCGCGGCGTCGAGCACGCAGACGGACGAGCCGCCCGCGTTCGACGGGGATGATCTCGAGATGTGGCTCGAGTTCCAGCGCGAGCGCGGCAAGGCCGTCAGCAAGGACACCTGGAGCCTGTTCATCGACTTCCTCCGCACCATTGACAAGCAGTACAAGGAGTACGACGAGGAGGGTGAGTTCGCCATACGATCCAGTTGAACTGACGGTGTCGCAGCTGCGTGGCCGTCGACGATTGACGACTTTGTCGAGTACGCCCGCGCGAAGAAGGCGTAGGCCCCCGGGCGCCGGACGAACGATAGATACCCGTTCCCACATTGCATGTACCATATAGTCACTTGTTCTAACGCACACTGTTTCGCTGACAGGCACTGACGCACAACCACAAACCACAGAGGGGAAGCACAGATAAGACAAACCCAATTAAAGATTGCATCTAAGAATCAATTATGCACAACAAAAGATCAGCCCAGCTTGCTAGGTGGGTATGAATGAGGACTGATAAAGCTAGAAATGTCCGATGGATAGAAATGGATGGTGGTAGGCATGATAAGCGTGGGCATGGGCTAGCGGTTACGATTAAGATTATACGGGTTGCGGCTGGGGTGGCAGCTGTCCGAGCGGGCTCGGATGGTTGACATGGCTGGAGATGGGGAGGGGCGGGAGCGTCGACTGCCCAGCGGACTGGAAATCGGCATCCGTCGCACTGCTCACACTATGGTACACGCTGCCCGAGTAGCCCGAGATGGTGCTCATGCGGTTCGTGTCGAAGCGAGGCGAGGCGTAGGCTGTATGGTAGCCTTCCTCGGGGTCGTCGAGCTCGTTCACGCGGATCAGGCGCGCGTTCGCAAAGGCTACATCGACCGGTGTTACGCCCGTCGGGCCGCTGGGCGTCGAACGGTGGCCTGGCGTGATCAGGGTGTCTTGCGGGATGTAGACGTCGTCGCCGTATGCGCTCTCGCTGGACACCTCGTCGACATCGCCTCCCAGCTCGTGTACACTTTCTCGCGCGCGGCGCAGTACCCGCGTGTACGCGCGCTGAACTGTTGCCTCGTGCAGCTGGTACGAGTAGTTGGCCGACGAGCAGGACGACACTCGGCTCAACGCAGCACCCTCACTCAGGCGATTGTTCACACCATCAAGGTTCAGGACGAGGCCGAGAGCGCCGGAAGAAGCAAAGAGCGACTCTATGCTCTGAATGCTTTCCTGGCCCCGGACGTGCTCCTGGCCTCGCTGGTGCTGCGTGTACTCGAGCGTCAGACTGTCTGCGCTGGTCGGCAGGCTGAACGTTTCAGGTCTGTGATCGTTGGCCGACACCTCTGCCGGTGAGTGGACTTCTTCCTCACTGAACGGAAGGAATGATCCGGTGCTAGGGAACGCCTGGGTGCCGGGGGTGGTGGAGGACGTGCCTTCTGTGGTTTCAGTGTTGGAACGAGGTACGTCAGGTGGCGGACGGCTTGGCGGAGGGCGAGGCAGGGATGCGCGGTGCGACGAGTAAGATGAGCGAATCGGCGAATAATGGCGGGACGAACGCGGGGAGTAGAGCGAAGGGGAATCGGCAGATGATTTGGCTTGCAAACTGAGACGAGCGTGGTTGAGCGAGAGCGCAGAAGGTGACAGATGCACGTCGCGCTTGCTGGCCTGACTCGAGGGTCGTGATCGATAGGCGCCGACGTTCAAGCTCTGGCCAGAACTCGATCGGTTCATGGAGGCCGACTTGGGAGAGCGAAGTATCCGTAGGGGCGGTGTCGGGGATGCACGGGGAGAGGTGAGGCGGAGAGGTTGCGTCATCGGCTTGGGCAGAGCAATGACCGCCGTGGCGGTCTCGTCGAGGGGCGGCGTGCTGAGATCAATCTCGGAAGAGGACGGGGATGTGGTGGGCGTCTGCGAGTGTCGACGTTGAACACCGAACGAATCCACCGAAACGCAGCGCAATCGTGAGCTCGACGTTGTCGGAACGACCAGCCGAGGCTCGGATGGTGGCGCAGGGTTGTTTACCGGTGAGGCAACCCGCAAGGGTCGCGGAGGTGGCGGAGGCGAATAAACGCGGTCCAACGAGACCGACTTTGGTCTCGGGCGCTCCTTCCGCTCCTCTGCCTCTTCCATGACAGCCCTTAGCGAAATCATAGATGCCTGTTTTGTTATCGGAGGTCTCACAACCCTGATTTCAGCCCCTTCAGGAACGTAGTCGACCTCCGGCGCGTCAGCCCCTTCATCCTGGAGCGGTGCCGGCGCCACCTCAGCCGTTTCGGTCCCTTCCGGCGGCTCTTCCGTGCCACCTTCCTCGTCCCATGCCGCGAGGATCGAAGCGGCCCATTCATCGCCGTCCGTCAGGTCAATGTTGAGGTTTTGGAAGCCACGAATCTCGTCGGACATTCTTCGGCCCGCTGAGGAAACGCTGCCGACCGTTAGGAATGAATTGGCGCTGACATTCGATGGACCACGCTCATGCTCGCCTTTGCGTTTCTCTTCGGTATCGGATCCGGAACCATGATCTCCCCTGGAGTGCGGCTGCAGATGCTGGCCGCTGGAGCGCGATGGCCGGGATGAAGCTGTGTCGAACTCGGTAAGCAGCTTTGTAATGATACTGCTGGACCGCCGGAGTTGAGTGCTCAGAGCGCGCGATCGTCGGCCCGCTTTGCTACTGGCAGAAGTCGAGGTCGGTGTGGGCGGAAGCGAGGCAGAGGTCGGGGACCGTGCTGAGGCCTCCAGTGGCTGAGGAGATGGGTCAGGGCCAGATTTTGGTGGTGACACTGGGGTAGGTGCGGTGGTAACGGTAGGCACACTGCGCAGAGCTGGGGCTGCACTGGACGCAGCGCGGGGCCACGTCAGTGTGGATCCAGCAACAGTCAACGAGGATGCAGCGGGCGCCAACGTTGCGCCATGTGCCCGCTGAGAGGGCGGACTCATGTGGCCTTGCTCGAGCTGAACTTTCGGGCGTTCCCTCGGAGGCACTTGAATCGTCAAAGATGGCTTCTCCTTGGGAACTTTGCGCGTCTCACTCGGCTCAGACTTGTCGTGGCCAGGTCGTCCATGTTTCTTCGGCGGTGTCCGCAGAATCACGTTTACGTCACCCTGGGCGTCTTCCAGTGCTCCAGAAGGATTCCGTTGTGAACGTGACAGCGTTGGCGCTGACACATCGCCCACTGTGAAATTAGGCACTGGCTTCCGACGTCCTGTGGGGTTGATGGGGTGCAATGGAACCGAGCGTTGCTTCTTGTGAGCAGCAACGATGAGGAGCAGCTCCGATTCCGACATGCCCTGCGCCTTGAGCTGATCAAGCCATTCCATGGGCAGTCCTTCCAGATTCTCCGACACATGCAGCTGGTGCTTCATCGTCAGTCATTGCATTGCATTGCGGACTCACCTGAACATTGAACGGTCGGCTGACTCCACCAGTCTCAACCTGGCTCTGGCAGATCTGGGACGGAAGCAGCGGCTGATTAGGACTCTGTACCCGCATCAAGCCTGGTGAAGGGCTTGGGTTGGATTCTTCGACCAGATCGTCCAATGTTAGGCTGTTGTTGCGAGGTAACCGTCGACGTGGAGGAGTGCTGGTCGAGCTATGTTGCCCATGTCTTGACCCCTCCCTCCCTCCTGCGGAAGCTCCCTTACGGCTCATGACGCTACCCATCCGCGTAAGGCCGCGCTTCACCAGGAGGGACGCATTCGACTTCTTGCGCTGTAAGCGCGACCCGGAGGCTTCGCCTCCGCCACTCGACGTCTTTAAGCGGACCGAATAGGCTGACGGCGTAGCACTCGGAGTCGGGCTGGGACACGCAGAGGTGACGCTCGGAGAGTTGGGTTGCGATCCTCGCGACGTCGTCTTCCATAATCTCGGCGGCTCCAAATCCTCCGTCATGCGCGGATCTCGAGAGTGTGTAGACATCGGGCTGTCAGCGCGAATCGTAGGAATGAGCGGTAGCGCAAAGTCGGAGGTCTCGATGCGAGGTCGGAGAGGGGCAGCAGAGCGAACAGTGCTGCTGCTTCATGTCAGTGGCCGAATCAGCGGTGCGGACCCTACCTTGGCGTAGAGCATGACGGGCTCTGAATATGCAGCAGAAGGTCCGGGTCGGTCAAACTTCGACCTCGCGGGATCATCGTGTGCTTCGGGGCATTCATTTTGTGGTCGGCGGCCGTGGCCTCGTACATGGTCGGTGGTCGCTGGGCCGGAAGTGCACCATGCCGGGTGCGCATCGTCATATCGGCGGGTGGTCGAGGGAGAGAGAAATAAGTTGAGCAATGATGCAGTCGGTTAAATGGGTGTCTGTCTGTGAGGAATGGAGTCAAGAGTAGTAAGTTAAGGAGCGTGAATGTCGAGAGGCGTCGGCCGGGTGAGGGATAGGAGAGAGATCAACGTTGAGACCGTTGGAGGAAGGCTTGATAATGAGGAGACATTGAGCGTAAGGGTGAGTATTTCTTGTCCTGCTTCATCATGCGTCTCATCCGACGCCATGCCACGCCACAATCATGGCCCCGATGCAGGTCAGGCTTGCCTTCCAATGACGCACCAGCTGTCTGGTATGCGAGAGCGCCTTGTGTGCGGGCAGAGGAGGACGCTGGGAGAGCCATGGGCGCCGTGAGCGAGGTGGGCGAGGAGCCTGTCCAGCCCATGGCTGAGCGGCGGGTATGGTGGTGTGGTGGGTGGCCGCATTGTGAAAAGGCTGCGAGAATGGTGGGATGGGCTCCTGCGCACGCACAGGCCGGCTTTGAAAGGGCCGAGGGGGGGGTTAGGAGAGGGCAAGTGCTGCATCGCACTGTGCATGTCAGGCCCAGCCAGTGGGCAAGTGGCGCATCAATCAAGGAAAAACAGCAGCCCAAAGGATCGAGAAACCTGCGACTGTCGCGCCAGTCGCACTGATTCGGAACTCATGCTCCTGGCGCCTGCGCCTCGGCTGCCCTTCTTCCTGGCCTGGCTTCCGAGTGGCGCCGTGGTCGTCTCCAAGAGTGCCCGTCCAGGCGTCAAGGGGAAGAAGGGGCAAGGGGTAAGGAGCCAAGGGGGGATCAGTCTGGGCAGATGTCTGTCTCGTGTTCGTGCGTTGTGTGTGTGTGTGAGCTGTGCAGTGCAGTGGACAGGCGAAGTCGCTCTAGAAGGATAACGAGGACTGAATGTCTACGGCCTGCCGGGTGTGCTGGGGTGGGTAGTGCCGATAAGGTTTTTGGGTCTCATCAGGATGAAGGAGACAGGAAAACAGGAATGCAGGATGGCAGGAACGAAAAGTAAGACGCGTACGCAGGAAGCGAAGAAGAAAGTCGCGCGGAGGCCTGCGTTTGATTTTTGCTGCGCACTGCGTCCAATGAACCGGCGTGCCCTGTCTTTCCTGCCTAGGCTAACTCGCCGACCTGACTCGCAGTCCTGCTGTCCTGTCTGACCTAACCTTTTCTTTCATTCAAATTCATTCACAGCACTCAGGCAGCCCAGGGTTCGCCGGCCTTCTACTCCTTCCATCCCAACATTGCCCAATGCTTTCGTTCTTGTCTCTCGGTCCTCCATGCATCAACCTGAAGCGCTCAGGTCATCTCGGAAAGGCATACCGGTTTGTTACGTAATTCAGTGACACGCGAGTACCACGTGTAGCTCTCATGGCTAACCCCGAAGATCCGCGAGCGTGGCTCCGGAGACGCCGGGCAGCCTGAATGCGGTTCTCGGTCACTCAGGCATGAGGATCGTCATTTTTTCGGACTCTAGCACCTCCATCACACCCGTTCGGCCCCTCTCTCGCCCAAAAGCTGCAAAGGAAACGACGCAGCCAGCGCAACACCACGAAGAGCGCATTCATCTTCCCCGTACCCCGCTTTTTCCGCTTCGAAATCTAGAAATAGAGGTCAAAATGTGCGTCTTAATAATTTCAGAAAACCCCTCGAGGCGTGTCGTTGCAACAACATGGCAGCGTCCCGAGCGCACGTTTCGACGACTGAACTGACCCTCCAGGTCGGCTCCTGCTCCTGTCATTCTCGGTATCAACTTCGGCCAGTCGTACGCGTCTATCGCTATCATCGACAAGGATGGTCACGCCCAGTGCATCGCCAACGAGGACGGTGAGCGTCAGATCGCGTGTGCCGTCTCGTACGTCGAGGACCAGGTCTACATCGGCAACGGTGCTAAGCCCCACCTCGTCAAGAACGGCCACAACACGATCATGGGCTTCCGTAACCTCCTCGGCCACACCTACGACGAGGTTGACCACACCGCCATCCTTGCCGCTCCTCTCATCCCCGACTCCAAGACCCCCGCCTACACCGTCGACATCATGATCCCCCCTCCCCCCGCCCTACCCCGGGATCGCGCTCGCAGGCTCCTTCTGGCGCTGCCACCCCCGCCGTTGCTGAGCCCCAGGCCGCCAAGAAGACGATCACTGTCCCCGAGATCACCTCGCTCTTCCTCCAGACCCTTTTCGCCTCTGCCACTGACTTCATCGGCCAGAAGCCCACCCACTGCGTCATCTCTGCCCCCGTCTGGTTCACCCCCGAGCAGACCGAGGCCCTCCGCGCTGCTGCCACCGATGCCGGTATCAACGTCATCCAGGTTCTCGACGAGGCCGCTGCCGTCCTCACCGGTTACCGTGCCGGTATGACCGAGGAGCGCAAGGCCCGCGGTCTCCTTGGCTCCCCCGAGGAGGGTGACGCCGGAGAGCACGAGAAGCAGGACAAGAAGGTTGTCGTTCTCGACATGGGCGAGACCTCGCTTGCCGTTTCCGTTGTCGCCGTCTCCGACGGCATCTACACTGTCCTCGCCAAGGGCCGTGACGACAAGCTCGGCGGTCGCGAGCTCGACGCTCTTCTCCTCAAGCACTTCGCCAAGGAGTTCACCAAGAAGACCAAGATCCCTCTTGACCTCCCCTGCGGCGAGAACGCCTCTGTCCAGGACAAGCGCGCCGAGGCCAAGCTCCGCCTCGCCATTGAGCACACCAAGCGCTCGCTCTCGGCCTCGACCGGTGCCGCCACCTGCGCCGTCGAGTCGCTCAAGGACGGCTACGACCTTTCCACCTCGATCAACCGTATCCGTTTCGACGGCCTTGCTCTCCCCGTCTACACCAAGGTCGGTGAGAAGCTCAAGTCCGTCGTCGCCGAGGCTGGCCTCGACATTGCCGAGATCGACGAGGTCCTCCTCGCCGGTGCGTCGACCCTCTTCCCCGGCCTCCAGTCCAACCTCTCGTACCTCGTCCAGCCTACGACGCCGGTCACCGCCGCCCTCGACCCCTCCGAGGCCATCGCCGTCGGATGTGCCCTCCAGGCCCTCCACCTGTCGAACCTCGACTCGCGCCTCGCCGAGAAGGACGTTCTTGAGCTCGCCAAGAAGCCCGTCCCGTGTACTTCTGCCCCGATCGGTGTCGTCCTCCCCGGCAGCAAGGAGGACACGCTCGCCGCCGTTGTTGTTGAGACCGACGCTCCCCTCCCCGTGAGGCGGCGCGCGGCCTTCCCCGTCGCGGGCGGTAAGACCGCCCTTGAGATCTGGGAGGGCAAGCACGACGTCAAGGTTGAGACGATCGCGCCCCCGCCCCCCGAGGAGGGCGAGGAGGAGTTCTCGGACGAGGAGCCCGAGGAGGTCAAGACCCCCATTGTCCAGAAGACGACCTGCCTCGGCGCCGTCGAGGTCGAGGTCGCCGCGGGCAAGAAGCTCATCCTCGAGGTCATCGTCCAGAAGAACGGCGCCGTCAAGGTCGCCGCCTGGGAGGAGGGCAGCGAGGACAAGGCCGACAAGTTCGAGGCCTAGGCTTCTTAAGTTGTTAGAGTAGAGCATGCATATAGATATTCCGAACGTTGCTGCAGTCGTCAGCCTCTGGTGCCGAGTTGGAGATCCTGCCACAGCCGATTGCCACTCTGATAAGAGGCACACTGCGATAGATAGTTGTGCACGGCAACATCCTCAGCGCACCATCTGTTCTGGTACTCTGGCAGTCACAAGAGCGCCGCTGCCAACAGTGCGCAGGAGCACTGGTGCAATACCAATCAAGGGTGATCCCTGTCAGTCAGAATAGTCTGTCAGTCATACTAATCAGTTACACTGTCCAACTACACAAAACAGGCACAGCGTCAGAATGGTTATGGAAATGCATTGCGGGAGGCGAATCGATGAGGGGGAATCCAGAGAACTACACTATTACGTCTAAGCCTCTATGCCTAGGCCTTGGGCTTCTTGGCGCCGTACTTGGAGCGCGACGACGTGCGGCCCGCAACACCGGGCAGGTCGAGCGCACCACGGACAACCTTGTAACTGAGGGTTAGCTAGATCAACAGGGGACGTTTAAAAAGCTTGGGCAGTTCAGAGCTAGGGGCGGAGAATCACGGCGGGTGTCTTTCAGCTTCCAGACGACGGGCTGTTCTCCGGCATGAAGGGGAAGGAGGCCTGCTGGTGACAAAACACACAGACGGGTGCGGCTGTCTATCGCTCATGACGCAGCCGATCTCTTCACGCTGCGCAAGCTGCGCCTTCGACCACTCCTCCAGCCAGATGCGCTGCTGGACAGAGCTCTGGCTCCGTAGCCGTAACGCGAGGCGTCATTCCTTCGACGCGCGAATATGACCACAGGTGAACACATCGCTCACGGTCGTCCACGGCTCTAGCTGCCCTCTGCCCTCTCCGCCCCGCTCCTCAACACCCAAAGCTCATACTTACCGGATACCGGGCAGATCCTTCGTCCTTCCTCCGCGGATCAGAACGACCTGGTGCTCCTGGAGGTTGTGTCCTTCTCCCGGGATGTAGGCGATGGTCGACTTTCCGGTCGAAAGCTTGACACGGCACACCTTACGCACGGCCGAGTTGGGCTTACGCGGCTTAGTCGTATAGACCTTGGACACGACACCCTTCTTCTGCGGGCAGCCCTCGAGCAGCGGCGCCTTCGATTGCTTCGTCTTGTGCTTGCGGTCGCCGCGGATGACTGTAGGTTAGCTCTGGACTTCGTACGCTTAGCTTGAACGGCGGGCCTCTGTCTCCCCTCTGCAAAGCTGTTTGTCATGCACAACATAAAGATTGAAACCAAAGGCGAGACAGGAATAACAGAGTGCCGCGCCGAGGACACTAACGCTGGTTCGCAGTGAGGCCGAGGGGAGCCGAAGTCGAGAACGCGGCCGGCTTGGCGGGGAGGACAAGGCGGGACGAGGAGGCGACGGGGCGGACGGAGAGGGCGCGGAACGACGCCGCGAGGGCGTTGACGCGGAACATGGTGGTGCGGAGTGGTGGTGGTAGTGACAAGCGAGCTCGCTATGTAATTTCGGTGCACTCTGCTCGACTTTGCACTTGGCTCGCTCGCTGCTCGTCCGTCCCGAACATCTTGCAAAAAGTAGCGATCGTGGGTGAGTATGCCACGTGGACATAGGGCATCGGTCACGTGCACACCGAGATTTCTGAAGTCATGAAGTTCTGTGGTCCACTGCAGCCAAGACGCCCAATATTTACGTCTGAACCGCAAGTAGCTGCCTTGCAACACCGCAACGACAATGGCAGACACAGAGGCGGACTTTATCGCTTTCGACAACGAGGCCGGATCCTCGGCCCCCGCCACGCCGGCCGGTAAGCCCAAGCGCCAGTCCAAGTCCGAGGCGAACGCGACGCTCTTCGTGAGCTCTCTCCCTTACAACGCTACGAGCACCGACCTGGTTACGCACTTCTCGTTCATCGGACCGATTCGCCATGGCTTCGTCGCGACAGACAAGGAGACGGGCAAGTCCAAAGGTGTTGGATACGTTACGTATGCCATGCGCGAGGACGCAGAGCGTGCCCTCGCCGAGCTCGACGGCGGTGCGTTCGGCGACAAGGGAAGGAAGATCAGGGTGTCCTGGGCCGACAAGAAGGTGAGGTTAAAGTCCGCTCTGTGCATATGACTGGTATCTGCTACTGGATAGTCCCGCGGAGCCGCTGTGCGCATGAGCATCGCAACTATCATTGTGCTCGACATAAGCTGACCCCAGCCTGGACGTGAGATGGCGGCTGTCGAGCGACCGAAGAAGACAGCCCGCGTAACGGCCGACGACAGCGCAAGCAGCGACCCGAATGCGATCCGAACGCTCATCGTGACCGGCCTTCCGGGCGACCTGACCAAGGCGGTGCTGTGGAAGAAGATCCGCAAGGTGAACGCCAAGGCGGAGCTCGAGTACCCCATTGAGGGCGAGGCGGACACTGCCAACGTCGTCTTCCCTACGCACGGCGACGCCGTCAAGGTCGTCTCCAAGCTTCACGGACATGTGTACAAGGGTTCTCTCCTCTCTGCCGTGCTGAAGAAGCGCGCCGAGAAGCTCTCGTCCAAGGGCGAGGGCGCGGTCTCGCACGCCGGCCGCCTGATCGTCCGCAACCTCGCGTGGGAGACGACCGAGGCCGACCTGCGCGCAACCTTCCTCCCCTTTGGCCCCATTGTCAGCATCGACCTGCCCACCGCCCCGTCAAAGCTCCCCAACGCCCCGCCGCGTGCGCGTGGTTTCGCCTTTGTCTGGTTCATGGTCAAGAAGGACGCCGAGCGCGCCATGGCCGCCATCAACGGGCAGCCGATCAAGCGCGCGCACGACGCGGGAGTGGCCAAGGGCAAGGCGGGCCGGTTGGCCAAGAAGGCGACCGAGACGCTCGGCGATGGCCGACCCGTTGCCGTTGACTGGGCGCTGAGCAAGGATAAATGGGACAAGACGCAGAGCAAGGAGGAGACGGAGGAGAAGAAGGAGCCCGAGGACGCCGGAAACGTCACCGACAGTGACTCGGACAGCGGAAGTTCGTCGGGAAGCGACAGCGGCTCTGACAGCGGGTCGGACTCTGAGTCTGACGAAGAGGAGGAGGAGGAAGAGGGCGACATCAGCATGGCCGACGCCGAGGCCGCCGAGGCTGCCGAGTCGGATACGCCGTCTGGCTCTGACGCTGACGAAGACGAGGAGGCGTCCGACGAGGAGGACGAGCCCGTCAAGCCCTCTCTGCCGAGCACGGATGTGGGCGCGACCGTCTTCGTGCGCAACCTTCCCTTCGAAGCAACAGAGGGGGAGCTGGGGCAGCTGTTCCGCGCCTTCGGCCCGATCCGCTACGCGCGCATCACAATGGACCGAGCGACGGGCCGGTCGCGCGGCACGGGCTTCGTCTGTTTCTGGAACCCGGAGCACGCCGACAGCGCGATCAAGGAGGCGGAGCGAGTTGCGCGCGAGACGGGCGCGAACGCAATGCCGCTCGGCGAGAAGAAGAACCCCTTCGCGCTCCCCTCGGTGCTGCAGGCGGGACCCTCGGCGCAGCTCGCGTCCAAGCTCGTGCTGCATGGACGCACGCTTGCCGTGTCGCGCGCCGTGACGCGCGAACAGGCGTCCAACCTCAAGGAAGACGCCGAGCGCGCCCGCGAAAAGGGCGACAAGAGGAACACGTACCTGATGCGCGAGGGCGTGGTGTTCCCCAACTCGCCTGCTGCCGCGTCCATGCCGCCGGCAGAGGTTGAGCGGCGGCAAGCAGCCTTTGGCGCGCGCAAGGCGCTCCTCCGCTCCAACCCCGCGCTGTACATCTCCAAGACGCGTCTGTCTGTGCGCCAGATCCCGCTCTTCGTGACGGACCGCGGGCTGAAGCGGCTCGCGATCCACGCCGTGCGCGCGTTCGACGACGAGGTCAAGGCCGGCGTTCGCGAGGGCCTGGCCCGCCACGAGGAGGCGGACGACACGCTCTCCGCCGCGCTCGAGGGACGGAGCAAGAAACGCGGCGAGCGCCAGACCGCCGTCGTGCAGAGCAAGATCGTGCGGAGTGCCGAGAAGCCCGACCCCGTGACTGGCTCAGGCCGGTCGAGGGGGTACGGCTTCCTGGAGCTGCGCTCGCACAAGGATGCGCTGAAAGTGCTCCGGTGGGCGAACAACAATGCCGAGGTTGGCAAATTGCTCTGGAGCTGGTGGACCGAGGAACTGAAGGATCTCAAGGAACGCGCGGAGAAGCAGGCCAAGGACCGGCCCGAGAACGAGGACGTCAAGGCGCGCTTGAAGAAGATCAACGAGCGTATCGCCGAGGGCGACGACCGCGCCGCGCCCCTGCGCGGCGGCAAGACGCTCCTCATCGAGTTCTCGGTCGAGAATGCGCAGGTCGTCAAGCGTCGTTCGGACAGGCAGAAGAATCCCAAGCGGCCCGCTGCGGATTCGGACGACGAGGAGGGCGAGACGCAGCAGAGTCCGGCCAAGAAGCCGAGGATGGACAGGCGCGATGGCGCAAAGGACGACAGGGAGAGGAAGGAGAGGAAGGGTCCCAAGAAGCCGAGAGGCAACATGAACAAGGGACCCAAGGACGAGAAGAAGCGCAGCTCGGCCAATTCCTCCGCCAAGGCCCAGATCACTGGAACGCCAAAGGACGACAAGCTCGGGTCCAAGCTTGGAAGTCTGATCGGTCGCAAGAGGAAGGCGCGCAAGGGCGGCAAGTGAGCCGAGGTGGAGGGTGCTTAGACTATATACCATGCATTGTGTTTCTCTAGATCATCTACTGGTTGCTTATCTACTTCTGAATTACCTGCCTCGCACAATGCGGAGCAGCGTTACTGAGCCTGCGGCTTCGGTTTGTTCCACACAAACTTCTTCCCGCGGTGGTCGGGATCCTCCTCGTGGTGCTCCTTCCAGCACGCACTGCAGTAGAGCTCGCCGTCACAGTCTACGCACTGAACGGTCGCGTCCTTGTTGCAGATACCTGAGATTAGCTGAAGCCACCACACCACTCAGTTCAAGTTACTCACCACACCAGCTGTCGAGGTCCGCGTCGCGTGCCCCGTCCATGCCTGGGAAGGACGTGGGCGCCGGTCCCGGCCCGTCGCCCGGCGCCTTCTTCGGTGCCGCCGGGAAGGCGCTTGGGCCCTTCAATCCCAGCAGGGCGGCCATGCGCGCCTGTTCCTCGGCGCTGAGAGGTGCGTCATCGCTCGGCGGGTCGGGGAGCGACGACAGCGACGGCAGGCTCAGCAGCGCGGCGGCGCCGTCACCAGAGCTCGTCGTAACGTCGGTCTTGGCGGCCGCGGCCTCGTCCCCGTCATCGCTGTCGCCACCACTGTCGTCATGACGCTTCTTAGCGGCAGCCGACTCGGTCTGCGCCTCCAAACTTGCCTCCTCGAGGGCACGCTGGATGATCTCGTCCTCTGTCTCCTCTGGTTCATCCGTGTCAGCCTCCAGGCCCTCCAGTGCACGGTCACGCGACAGGGACGCCCTGCGCCTGGCTCCGTCGGCAACCTTGAGCGCATCGTTAATCTCGAGCGACAGGTCGCGCCTGCGGTCGTTCTCCGGATCCAAATCTCTCCGCAGGGCTGCAATCTCATCCTCGTCAGGCATGCCAGTGCCGCGATCACCGCGGGGTTGAGTGCCGCCAGAAGCATTCGAAAATGGAGTTTCCTGGCTGGTTTGGCCCGGCTGCAAGGAATTTCGAATCGCACTGAGCAACGAGCCGTCGTCGTCGCCTACCCCGGCTGCGCCGCCACCCTGTGCATCCGGCTCGTCTGTGCCCGGCTTGCCTGTGCGCGGCGGGACATGGTCAACTCCTCCGGAGCCAGACACGGCTTGGCTGTTGGCCAATGACGAGGAGGGATGACTGGACGGTGGAGGTGGAGGTTTGGCTGAGTGGTCGCTGGACAGATTCCCCGACGGATCGTCACCGCGCGCTATGCGGTCGAGGAAGGCGTCCTCGGCATCTGCGGCTGCTTTCGCTGCAGCCAGTGCAGAGTCGGTTGAGCCGGGGGCGGTCGCGGGCGCCTTGAGGGCGGCGAAGCGGGCCAACAACTCGGCGTCTGGGTCCGCTGGCGGCATGGAGTAGTCAAGGATAGAGGCGAGGAAGAGCAAGTAACCGGCTGGGATTAGCGAGGTTGGGTTCCAAGAGCCTTGCTGGATGTCGAGAATTCTGGAATTCGGGGTGGACGAGCGGGGGGTTCAGGCGGGGGGGAAGAGGGTCAGGTACGAGCCGTTACGCAGATAGCGAGGCTGGCGAGCAGAACCGGAGCGGGGGAGGAAGGGCAATCGAGGAGGGAGACGAGGAGGGTGGAGTGGATGACGAGGGAGAGTGGCCAATGAGGACAAGAGGACAATTCGGGGAATCTATCTCCCTGGTAGAGAAGAGAGACACTCGTATAGACGACGCACAGGCGCAAGACCCGGGTATACTGCAGACAGGCGTCAGGAACGTGATGAGCATCATCATCATCCGGCACCGCAGCGGCACAGGCGGCAGATGACCCCGCACTCGCTCACTCTGTTGGTACCGAGGCCCCTCGTCGTCCCTCACTGGGCACCCTGGGATCTCAGGCTAACGCTTCGAGCTTCCACCGCCTGACCCGCCTGACGCAGGCCCACAGCCGATTTTGGCGGGACCTGAACCCCGTGGGTGTCCACCCTCCCAATCCACTGCCGCATGTCATCGCTTGGCCCCCCACCCAATCACGCGCCACTCATCCCTCTCTTCCTACCCTCACGACATTAAATAACCCGCCGGACAAACTGCATCTGCACTCTCCTACCACCATCTGTTACTCGATATCCCCCCTCCTACGCCTCGACGCCATGCCTAACCACGACTGTTAGACTGCCCAGACCCCCCCCGCTCTCCCCCTTGAACCGCCTAACACAAGCTCCGTGACTGGCTGATCGCTTCCTCCCCTGTCCTGTCACTCCAGCGACTGTTACCAATCGGTCCCTCCTGCCCTCATCGCACACATAGCACTCGTAGTTACTCCACTGCCCTCCACTCTTCCTGCCTCCATAAGAGCAACCGGCACTGCACACTCCTAGCCTGTCCCCCCTCCCACACACTCGCACCGCTCAGCAAGACCACTAGCACACACAGCGCTGTCTCACAAGAACCACTCCAGAGTTCCTTCCAGACTCAATTCGCACACACCCACTAAGGCCCTCGTCGTCTTCCTTCAACCGCCGCCGACACACCGCCAATCTTAGTGAACGCGATGGCCAACGCCAACGGTCTCAACTCTCCCACCCCCGAGGCCATCCGCGCCGAGGCCAGGAAGAACATTGATCACCTCACCATCAATGGCCGCTCCACGATTGAGCCCAACGGCTCCATTTCGACCTCGCCGCCCCTCCCTCCTGGAGCTCTGACGCCCCGTACCCGCCGCAACTCCAAGGTCGGTATCAGCTCGCTGTACCGTGCCGACTTGCCCAAGCTCCCCGTTCCGGCCCTGCGGGACTCGATGTCGCGCTACCTGCGTGCGCTCGAGGGTCTGCAGGACCAGGAGGAGCACGAGCAGACCAAGGAGATCGTCAAGGAGTTCCTTGAGAGCGGCGAGGGTGACAAGTGGCAGGCTCGCCTGGAGGAGTACGCGCAGGGCGTCGACAGCTACATTGAGGAGTTCTGGTGTGAGTACATTGCGGCGAACATCCCTCGGCAACGGCGGCGGCGGCGGCGGCAGTTCCACATGCATGAGCACGCTTGTCGGCATGTTAGGAAATGATCGGCCTTCCTGCTCGTGCATGCTCGGCTGTAAGGTCATGTGACCGGTTACCCTGGTAATCACGCCCTCGGTTAAAACGGATGCGGGTCACCGCACCAGAAGACCGGGGCGGACCGAGCGGGTGACATCGCTGTCCTGCCAAGCCACTGAATTCATGTGTCAGACATCCCATGCTAATCCCACCACAGACGAGTCGTACCTCTCCCACCAGGACTCGGTCGTGCTCTCCCTCAACCCCTTCTTCGTGCTTTCGTCGGATGTCACTCCCAGGAACGACCCTCAGCTCTCGCGTGCTGCTTCGCTCATCCTCTCGTCCCTGGCATTCATTCATGACCTCCGTACCGGCCAGCTCAAGGCCGACAACATCCGTGGCACCCCGCTCGACATGGACCAGTACGAGCGCCTCTTCGCCTCGTGCCGTGTCCCGACCGACATGGGTTGTCGCATGGAGACCTACGATGACTCGCGCCACATTGTCGTCCTCCGCCGTGGCCAGTTCTACTGGTTTGACGTGCTCGACTCGAAGAACCGTCCCATGCTCTCGGACCGCGAGATTCTGACCAACCTCCAGGGTATCGTCGCCGACGCTGATAAGATCCCCGTTACCGACACTGCCCAGAGCGCCGTCGGTATCCTGACTACCGAGAACCGTAAGATCTGGTCGAACCTCCGCAATGAGCTGCGCGAGTCGAACAAGCGCAACGCCAAGTCGCTCGCTATCGTCGAGTCGGCCCTGTTCGTTGTGTGCCTTGATGACGCCGAGCCCGCCGACCTCGGCGAGCTCTGTGGCAACTTCCTGTGCGGTGGCTACCGCCTCGAGCACGGCACTCAGGTCGGAACCTGCACCAACCGCTGGTACGACAAGCTGCAGATCATCGTCTGCTCGAACGGTGAGGCCGGAGTCAACTTTGAGCACACTGGTGTCGATGGTCACACCGTCCTGCGTTACGCCGCCGATGTGTTCACCGAGCTCGTCCTGCTCTTCGCCAAGTCGATCAACCCCTCGACCCCTTCGCTGTTCAAGGCCAAGATGTCGCCATTCGCCAAGAACTCGAAGACTCCTCGTGAGCCCGACGATGTCGAGACCGAGGCCGACACCAAGCCCAAGAAGCTCGAGTGGGCCCTCACGCCCGACCTCAAGCAGGGTGTCCGCTTCGCCGAGACCCGTATTTCGGACCTGATCTGCCAGAACGACAGCAAGGCGCTCGAGTTCCGCGGCTACGGTGCCAACTTTATTAAGCGCCACGGCTTCTCGCCCGACGCTTTCGTCCAAATGGCGTTCCAGGCTGCCTACTACAACCTCTATGGCCGTGTCGAGTCGACCTACGAGCCTGCGATGACCAAGACCTTCCTGCACGGTCGCACGGAGGCTATCCGCACTGTCCAGCGCGAGAGTGTTCACTTTGTCAAGACCTTCTCGTCCGAGACCGCCTCTCCCGCCGAGAAGATCCAGGCTCTCCGCGACGCCTGCAAGCGCCACACCGTGCTCACCCGCGAGTGCTCGCAGGGTATGGGCCAGGACCGCCACCTCTACGCCATGCACTCGCTCATCCAGCGCGACATTTGCGCCGCCCGCGAGCGCGGCGAGAAGCCGCCCAAGGTCCCCGAGCTCTTCCGTGACCCCGGCTACGGCACTCTCGGCGCATCGGTCCTCTCGACCTCGAACTGTGGTAACCCCGCGCTCCGCCTCTTCGGTTTCGGCCCCGTCACGCCCGAAGGCTACGGCATCGGTTACATCATCAAGGACGAGGCGATCAACGTGTGCATGTCGTCCAAGCACCTGCAGACGCGCCGTCTCCTCAAGACGCTGCAGGCCTACCTGCTCGAGGTCCGCCAGCTGATCATCCAGCTCTGGCGCGAGGCCAACGAGCGCCCTCAGGCGTTCATGGACCACTCGGGTGTCATGCGCGACGCCAAGACTGGTCGCCGCCTCAGCGACCACGAGCGCGACGGCGGCGACGAGTCGGCCCTCCTCGAGGAGGAGGACGACTACATCGGCGGTTTCGGCTACTTCGATGTCGGCACGCCGAGCGCTGTTGCGCAGAGCAAGCGCCGCCGTCCCACTGTCGGAAAGATGATCCCCATTGCGGAGTACTAAGCGAGGCGCGGCTCAGGCTGCATATCTAGATCTCAGAAGCAAACCCCTCAACGGGGAGTAAAACACAACGTATTGTTGGATTAAGTTGTACCGGTTAGTTATGTGATTCTATGTCTTGAACTAGGAGCAGGAAGGTGGCTTGTGCAATGACGCCTGTCGAACTAAAGTTGCAGGGGAATGGATCGGCGACCTGAATCCGCCATATGCAGCGAATTTGCCACCACCGGCGGCGCTGTCACAGGGCGAGCAAAGGCCGAGATAAGATGACGCGTCGCCCTAGTGTGAGCGTCATTCCACGTCAACCAGTGATTTCGCACATAAACCTATAGTACGTCACAGCGAATCTAAGAGCAAACAACAACAATAATGCCGACGAAGAAAGTCAAGCCGAGAAAAGTCCCCCTCGAGAGTATCAAGACGCTCACGCTAAGGGAGGGGCAGCAGACAACAGGCCGGCGGGCAGATGGAGTGGGTGAGTATTCCTTCCCTTCCTTTACATCCATTCCCCTTAATCCTTCCTTTTCCCCTCGCTGTCCCTCTACAAAGCTTCAATGCCGGAAAGAAGAGGACAGCAAAGCTAACCTCCACAGCCCAACTCCAATGTATGGGCAAACTGTGCGCGTACGCGCCCCAAGTCGTCCAATGTCGGCAAACGGGCCATGACGGTCTATCTCCGCAGTGGGCCTGCGAGGCGGATCTGCCCGAGGGCCTCCGCTTCGGCGCGCTCGAGGTGGTGTGTGAGGGCTGGAGTCGGCCTGGCGATACAGATGTGCTAGCCGGAAGCTGTGCGCTGGAGTACGAGCTGGAGGGGAGGCCCGAGGCCGCGTTTGGGAGCTGGGCTGCTCTGGGCAAGCAAAAGGATGAGCATGATTGTGAGTCAAGTCAAGTCAAGATCGGGTCAAGATCGGGTCAAGATCGGGTTAAGACCGGGTTGACAGGAAGTGCAGCTGACGCCAGACTCCGGCTGGATCATCAAGGCGCTCTGGATCGCCGTGGCGCTGTTCTTTATTTACAAGATCTTTCGCGTGCGCGTGAGGTGGGATCCGAACGGCAACCGGCCTCGTCCTGGCGGCGGCGGTGGTGGTCCCGGTGGTCCTGGCGGCGGCGGGTGGGGCGGGGGTG